AGTTTTGGACTTCGTGTTTCAAACTAGGTAGCCGAAGTCCTCAGATTTTCTTTTCCCATTGAGTTCTGTATCGACCGATGACCTCCCAGCCAACCCCATAGCACAAAAAAAAACCAAGGCCCGGTCAATTGACTCATCTGGACCCGGCCCACAACTTTGCTTGCAGCAGCGGCCCCGAAGTCGTGACTCTTCGATTCCAACTGCTGCTCTTGACTACATGGGGAATTGAACCTCAGTCACCACTCTCACCAAGATTGGTTGGCTCGAACCCGAACCCCAAGTTACACTCTCAACCACCTCCACACCAATACCTACATCTTCTTCGGTAAATATCGTGATCGTTCTTCAATCAGGCCACATTCAGCTCAACACCCACATGGTAAGGTCAGGTCATTTTGCTCTGTGACCTGTGTTTTCTTTAACTGATGTGTCTCCGAGTTAGATTTAGCGCCCTCCAGTGTCCTACTCATTGCTAGTTGATATCGGTTACCTGAGTCATTACCTTGAGAAGTAAGCCGTTCCTAAAATGCATCCATTAACTGGCTTTGTTTGCACTGAATCTGATTAACCTTCTATATAGCCCAATTGCCTGCAACTCATCAGAACCCTAGGTCGCATCTGTATCGTTTGGGCTTCAAATATTCCTGACATTCCCTGAGGAGGACGTGCAACATCATTGCCGTAACGAGATGTGAGATCCTATACATACACCCTGTGTTTTTCTGATTGGATTAATTCAGGATTCTTACATTTGCCTTACAGTCTGGTTTCTATTTAGCCTCCCTTTACTGGTAGTTGTTGCGATCCCCAACCCTAACATAACAATCACTGACCTCACTGGTAAGTGAACACCCCCCTCCAGAGGAGATTGCCAAATTTTAATTTATAAATGTGAACCCTGTGACTGACCTTAGCAACCCTTATCGTAATACTAGTCTAGGTTTCCAGATATTCTTCCTGTCAATCTTGCCGAGCTCTGTCCATTTCCGACCTGTCACATTCATCGATCACCTCCAGCCTCCCTTCCACTTGACAATCACTTCTGTGAATCGCCTCGCTCCCTCGAATAAACCTCTCTGATGTTCTCTCCAGGGGTCAATCTAAATGGGAGTGAAGATGATCCTAATGTTAATCACTTTAAGGTTTGTGGGAAGTATCCCACAGATCTTGGTGAGGATACTGAGGGGGAATCTGAACGCAAATTGACAAGGAAACAGAAGAGGAATCGCAACAGGAACAAGGGAAAGGAGGCTAAGCGATTGAACAATCTTCGCCAGCTTGTCAATTTGTCCCAATTCTCCATCCATCACCCACGATCCACCCCCCGACCAATAAGACTTGTCCAGAAGAACGATATTCTCCTCCGAAACAAGAATCAAGAAGTTGGTGGTCTAGTACGCTTCACCAAGTTCTCTGACATCGATGAATCCCTCCTCAAACAATTCAAAGGTTTTAGCATGCACCTCATCGCTCAATCCAAGTACCTCTATGCGAATGGGATCAATGGGAACACCCTTGGTGGAACCATGTTCAATGCCGGCTGGCGCAAGGCGTACACGAAGAACGAAATCCTCGGCATTTCTGCGGCAGTTCCCAAGATTGCAGGGAATGAGGAACATTACTCCCTCCTTCAAGAACAAATGAAAGACCATGAAGCCTTTCTTGCTACTCGATTCTCGAACTTGTCGCAGTACCTTTACGAAACATTATGATCTCGACATAAAGACCTCGAACTCCCATCAATCTCTTCTACCTCATTTGCTGAAGTGAATGACTTTTCCTTCGCATCACATCTCAGTTTCACCTTCAACAATTTTCACAACAAACCACACTGCGATAGAGATTCCTCAACTTACACATTTGGTTTATGGCTCCCAATCAACATGCAAGATGGAAGCTTAGTAACCGATAACTTGAATGTCGAGGGAGGGAACTTCCTATTTCCTGATGACAATTTTGGCTTAAATTTTGCCGGATTTGACGGAATTGTTGAAATGGTTTGGAAAGCTGACAAATTTAGTCATCGCACTGAAATTTCTACTTCCCAATCTGATCATAGCCGTCTTGGTGTGTCTTGTGAAATTCCATCGACCTCCCTTCAAACCATCACTCGATTGCAGAACTTGTATTATGAATCTAAGAAGGAGGCCTTTTTCCGTGATACAAATAAGGTTATTGAAGACTGTCAAGCATGGAAAGAAAAACAAGCACAAAAGGCACAAAAAAATGCTAAGAAAACCAAAAAAGCATAGCGACTGGTTGTCTTTCTATTTCTGAAATTTGCGCATTTCCCTTTGTTTATTATTTGGATTTTATTAATGTGCCTTCTTATCAAGTCTGCATGCAATCTATGAGACCAAGGGTTTTAATAGTGCAATTCAAATGTCTTCCTTAAACTAACAGGAAAGAAACCTCCCCGAACTCTCACAACATGAGTGATATCAACCCCGAGTCAGGGTATTTTTCAGAAGATGTGCCTTGCAATCATGGGAGATCGTATTATTAGACACAATTCTTGGTTAAAATCAAACATATCTCGTGCTTCCCAGCATGAATCCGAAAGGGTGGAGTGAATGGTGAAATGTGGCAGTAGGACATTTCATTTTTGGGTTCCGCCAATTGTCGCTTCAGTCAACTGGATCAAAATTGGAAGCAACATTAGACCTCAGTGATTAGGAAATTTTCTTTTTGGAAACTTACTTCGACAATCATCATGTCATGGTGCCTGTCCCACCCAGCTAAAACCCCTTGGAAGTGCCCCCTTTGACCCGATTTTAGTAATGTCTCAAAATTTTTGGTACATCTACTTTGGAGAGCCACATACTTGACCATAACCACATGGTCCCCAAAGGCCTAAGTGTAACACATCATTTTGAGCAAAGGCACTGATGAAACTTGGATTGATGATTACATGTGTGACTCACAGTACAGACTCCAACTTCGTGCTGGACAATCAAGTCAAAGCCTGCCTGGTTCCCATCGGATTGGGCAACAATTGTGCCTTTCCCAGTGATTTTTATTGATTCACTATCAACTAACGGATCCATCTCGGGCGAAAGTGCCATTTCATTGCACATGAGGTATGGCATTTCATGACGACGGCATCCCACCACAGTGCCTTGTAACCAGTAAACCGTCCCATTTGTCAACTGATGCATAGATGTGCCACTGTAAGTGAGTCTGATGTTCCGATGATCCTCGGGACCAAGTTCCAAAAGACCTGGGGGAACTGATGATGCAGTTTGAAACTGTTTGCCACTTCTCTTATCAAGGCACGAAACATCTGACTAATCAAAAGTTAGCCAACAAATCCACCACATAACAAAATATTTGGCTTACACTATGAGATGCTCTAAATAATCCCGAAAATTCCAGTGAATCGGGGAATTCTGTGATTCCCTTGGTGATAAATTGAAACATTGTATTTACGGTCACGAGTCGCTATGGATTTTATGTCTTTCGGATTGTGTTGGGTGATTGAATGTTTAGGATTGTGATTGTGAATGTCTGATGGGCTGGATGACTCGGACAAGTTGACACCAGGCCTCTTTATATGTTTTGCTTATTATGAATGGACCCCACCATAATTATCTCGCTCTGGTCCATCTCTAGGTGACTAAGCCCCTGAGTGAGTAGACCCTCACCACAACCCTGGAATCAGTTCCTAATTGAAGCAAATGACCCGTTGCAAGACTTTTCTCCATTCTCCCAAATCTATCACGATTTGGGGTTGGCATGATTCATGTCCCCTGTGCCAGTGGGAATCCATACATCAATGTGTGTTTGTCTTTACCTGAGTTAACCCCCTCACATGGCCAACATCATTGCAATTGGCCACCTGATGACAGGGTCCAATCAGCAAGCACTTTTGGGTTCAATCCAAGTCATCATACAATCTAACTTAGGTTTCATTCAAATTGGAGATGTGCAAGAGGTTCTTTGATCCCAAGCAACAATATTAAATTTTAGATGAATCACAGTCCTGCCATATCTGTCACTTTGAATTTTGAATTTTCATCATGTTATGGTTTGTGAATTGTCATGATCATTCTTCCCACAAACTTGGACACACAAGCTGCACACCAGTATCTAGTGAGTCTGGGATTAACCCAGTTGTACAATTTCTGAACAAGGCCCAAAAATCTGATTCTAAATTTGGATGATAAAACTGCTTGAATTTCAAGATTTGTTTGTCTGCATTTTGAAAGATAGTCTACACCTTTTTGACTTCAAGCAGGGTGAAAACCTCACACTGCTTGAAATTTCTATTGGAATAATTTGAGCTTGAAATGAGATACAAGTCTTCAAATAATGGAAATTTTGCAATTGATGTGGGTCTCATAAAGTAATGATTGTGGAGTGACAAAATTTTGAGGGTTCCAGATGTTTGGGGTGGACCAGATTGCACAGCAGCCTCTGAACCCTAGTAAAACATAATTACAACTAATTACAAGATATAACACATGTGAAAGAACAAGCATGCACTAGGAATCTGAGCCTGCTGACTCATCATCTTGGCCAACTTCAGAAAATTCATCAGATGAGTCAGAAAAAAAGTGTGGAGGGAAATATACTTGCAGACGTGGGAGCATAGCATCAAAAACCCTCCAAAGTCTTCCAATTTCTAAACTATGAAATTGGTAGCCCATTTCTGTGAACATAGGGAAGGCAATGTTGTAAAAGAAAGCTGGGGTGTGGGTGAACATTGGTTCTGGATTGGGATAGTGTTCCTCAAGAAGCTCATCAATTCTCTCCTGTGGGACTGGAACCAGCTGGTCTGTAGTATTGAAATGTGCTGGATTTGAATAAGAAAAGATGGGTTTGACTCCAGTTGGCAGGGAAATCCTCTTGTCTTTCCGTTTGCGGAAGGAATTGTGTGCAACAAGCCAGCTATCTGCACTTGCTTGGAATGCTGGTACCCATAGGAAAAGAAAGAGGAGTCTGGCCCCAAAATTCATTAGTGCTTGAGATTCATATGAAATTGGAATGGGGTTAATTTCTTACTTTTGTAATGCATCACTGTCATCATAACTCCCATTTTCCATGTGTTGCAAAATGTTATCAATCACTGGCCTGTTGTGCTCTGTCATCATTCTTGACCATAATGATTCAATTTTCTGATTGTGGGTGGACTTGGTATAATGCATGTGTTTCTTGGCCTCTTCAAGGGATATATTTGGAATGAATTCGTAGGACAGTTGGACTTGGAAAGCACCCAAGATTACGGTTTCTGTCCCCTTGTCTGTAGTCACTTTTTGTGGTATTCCCCCATGATCCCTGGCCAATCGGAGAAAGTATACTCCTATATGCCTTGGATCATTATTGGTCACATGAACAAAGATTCCTAAAACTTTTCTGGACCATGCATCGATAAATCCATAAACCGTGATTCCAAAACGCTTTAATTTGTCGTGCCCATCCGCAGCCCAGATGTGATTGGGACCAATGGTCCGGAAGACTCTTCTTTTGCATGTCTTTTTAAGGCGCATTTCCATTCCTTCAGGATCCAGCTCTTTGAGAATGTCATATACCACCTGTCTATAAATGAAGGAAAATTATTTTGTGTAATCAAGCCACTGATTCCAGAGAATAAGGCATACCTAGGTACATGGAGACCATAGTTGGTCACCAGAATCTGCCGCATCCTTCGGTAGCCAGCTGAGTTTGCCAGAAGTGCATCACGGGCATGCCTGATGTGCTCGACAACCCCTTCCCTGGTGATCTTTCCATCAGCTAAGTCATTTTGCCGTTGTTTCAAGCCAAGCACCCTCAGATATCGCTCCACAGTGCGGGTAGAGACATCCATTCCTGTTTCACTCAGAAGTTGGGAGCGCATTTCGAAAACTGTCAAACCATTTCGATGTGCTGAAATGAGACTTGCACGAGTCGCAGGGAGTAAAGAATCCTGGGGTGGAAGGTCTTTGAGCCGTAGGCTCCACGTTTGGCGGAGTCGGCTGAGAGAACGCAGGGAAATAGTCCAGCCATAATTTTCTTGAAGAATTATGAGGATATCTGGTCCTTTCCAACCCTCTTGTAGCAGAGATGCCAGAATGTCACGTTTATCGTCGTTGGTAAGTATGATTGGGGGTGGGGGGGAACTCGGTGGTGTTGTTGCATCATCAGAGCCCATAATTTTGGTAGGGTCAGAGGTAGTGACATCCAGATCCATGATTTTGAGTATGGAATATGAAGGGTAGCTGCTGAGGGAAATTATGGAAATGTGACGAGGATGAGGATGTCAAGTTGGTTAGTCCACCGGGTGATTGCCAGAATCAAGATGGAGCATCAAAACAATCAATTTACTCCTCAATCCAAGGCCATCAATGCTGCCCATGTGTGTTGGACCCAGCCTGGCTTAGCTGGATTCACATGTGGCCTGGCTCAGCTTGTCCTTCAGGAGCACAATTCGTGGATCGCTTCACACAAGCCTTTGGGCAGCCATCAGCTGTACTATTAATGCCTCCACCTTGTTCAGGGCCAGTTGTTGTTGGTGTTGCACCTAGCTAATTGCATTGTAAAAGTATTTTGATTAGTATCAATCGCATGCAACCCTTCTGTAGCCCAAAATACAAACATTAAAAAAAGATTGAATCGAAGAGAGCAAAGTCAATGATGACCATGTGTCTCCTGTCCTTTTTGTTCTTGGCAACAGCATCACAAGAGATGATTAATATTGTGCGGCCTTGAAGGTCTGAGATTGAATGCCCCATGGTTGGGCAACCATCCCCATATGGACTTGGACCCATCTAGTCCGGTGACCACCCATACGTCATGATTTCAATTTCACAATTGAAAATAAACTGATTCTCTACGGGGAAGATACCAGGCATTACCAGGCATCACTGGTGCCTAGATACAAACTGTATGTTTTAGTCTGTCATCACTAACCGAATTTGCAGAAATCTTCCTGCAACCATGGCATTCTCATCCGCCTTGTTTGATTCTTGCCATGCACCACGGTGAATAGGGCCAGCCAGTTATCCTGCCTGTTCTCACATGCATGAAATAATTTGACACGGATTGGAGCACTAGTATTTCAGTCAGCGAGCTAGCTTCTGAAGGAATATAAATAAGGAATACTTCTGCCCTTTCGATAGATATTTAGCCCACACATCACCCTCCTTGAGCTCATCAACAATAGTTTTTTCACATTTACTACCAAATCCACATCGATTACAATAAGCCTTCATCCCAATCTCGTGGACTTCTTTGAAATTCATCTCTCCCATGGGTGACATGCTCAAATGCCTCAAGTGCAACCGATGGTCGACTGAGAAGCATTTTGACAACCATTGCCTTGAATGTATTGTTTCCCACATTAAAACCGGTCCCTCCCAAGCAAACCAATCATCCCCTTCTGGTCCCTCAGCTCCTCATACCCAAATCCTCCCCAGCCGGATCCACACCGCTGGCCCAGCTTACTCTGCGGCTCCACGACGTGTTTCAACTCCTCATGATACTGGGACTCATGTTTTCTACCGAGGAATCGCCAAAGAGCTCCGTGGGGTCAAAAAACGCGAGGCTTCAGCTACCCAATCTAGCCGTGCCAGTACTTCTCGCACCCCCGATCCCAAGCAATCACCTGAAAAGCGGTTTGTGAAAGCCGGTGTCACAGTTTATATTGATGATCAACCACAAAAGAAGATGGGGATCATTCCAAAGGTCTTGGAGGTGGACACCAAGAAGCCCAACTTCTATGAAGACTTCCGACATCATCTATGGACACTATTTTCTGAAGAAATCCTAGCCAAAACCGAAATCACTTTTCCCCCTGATCCAGAACAATACACTTGCTTGGGAACACTCAATTCCAAGATTGAAAACCATGGCACCCTCTTAGATCTTGCCCGAACTGGAAAGACAATCAAGAGTGCCGCAGTCATCAATTTATTTTATCAGCATCCCATCAAAGCCTTTCCGGATACTGTGCTACCAACCGAGACACGTACTAACCGCAAGAGAAAATATAATGCAGATCCACCCAAGACATCCAAATCTGCCACATGGGCCCTTGGTGGGAAAATTGCAACCAAACCAGTTCGGGGACCAGCTGGCTTATCAGCACAAGTCAACACCCTCAGCCACCCAGTGAGTCAGTCAATCACCATGAAGACTGATGGATGGGTCGTAGCGCAAAGGTTACATTTCTATACGATTGAAGAACAGCCCCCACCGGAAGCCAACCAGAAGTCTTATGTTATCAATGATTACATCCACGCTGTCACCTTCCCTTTCGACATCAAAGTAGATAGGAAAAAGCATGTAGGCGAGGGTAGTAGTCGGCAATCTTATCCAGCTCAAGTACGCTCATCAGAAAATGGGCAAGAGGTCATCAACAAATGGGTTGCCAAGATTCGTTATTCTGACCCCCAACCGAATGTATCTAATCATGCCAGTGATGCCATCACCTATCGGGGTTTTGGCCTGATCCTGGCAGAATTTAAGGACCTCATCAGTGAAAAACTTGATGGTCTGCTGAAGATTAAAGGAAGTCAAATCGAAGTAAGCCTATCACCTGAAGTGAATCTCCTTTTTTCCGATCAAAAGCTTACCTTTTATCATCCAGCTTGTGAGACACTGTGTTGTTGTGGTAGGGGAAATAGATAAACCCAATGAAGTCTACTTTTTTGAAAGTCACCTCGATGGAAATTTTGTCAAATATTCGAGCAATCTAAACTTCCATGTATCACCAAACCAGATGGGAATGGATCCCGATTACCTTTCACTCATGAATGCATTGACACATTGGTCATACAATCAGTCAAGAGGGCAGCGATTGGTTTGTGATCTTCAGGGCTTTGGTCCCATCCTCACTGATCCGCAAGTGGTTGATCTGAATGCTAAGTAAGTTTCTTGATGCTTGCCCTTCTTATTGTCATGTAAACTGACTCTCTCAAAGCGCTTGGGCTGAGGGCAACAGTGCTGGTACAGGAATCGATGCATTTTTGAATGAACATGTCTGTTCAACAGTTTGTAATATTCTGAACTTGGGTCAGGGAGGTAAGGCAGTAGATTTGAAGTGGAAACGTCCCACTCCTCGGCAACCACTTGCATTCAACAGGATCCTTGCCTCAAAGAATCGAGGAGTCTTCAGTGGCTCAGAAGCCTCTGATGATAGTGACTTACCGGAAATCCTTTCGTGATTCACTTCTTCACCAGTTCATTCATGGCACCTAAAAATAGATTACCGGGCCCTTTCATATTTCTTATTTTTACTCATTGTAAATAGTCTTTCTATTCCATTGTACATATCATTTTTGACTTGTTTCCAGACATCTTGTGATCCTGTCCTTTTCTTTCAAAACGAAATCATCGGATGGAAAATTCTCTCCTTACCAGAAATAACCCATCTGCTTGCAAGATAAGAATGAAGTTACCACTTTGTGTAGCCACCAAAAACCCTGGAATTCTTCTGATAAACAGTCAAATGTTGCACTGGGCATTATGGAAATTTTCAGGAACATGATAGGTCCAGAAAAGAGGGAGGGGGGGCAGGTGGTTTGATTAAAACAAACAGGATTCCAAAACAAAAAGGCTACAATCGACCCCATGGTCATGCTGTATGCCCAACTGCACATTGGTATTGAAGCCAATTTTCAACTGATACTAACTCGGTACAGCTACCAAGATCTGTGGGATACTTCCCACAAACCTTAAAGTGACTGACTTTGTGTTTCTCAGTTTCTGATTCCATTGATCCAATGGCAGTTGAGCTTGTAGGACAAGGAACCTAATGAGATAAGAAATCATAACAAGATGGGAAGACTGACCTTTGGCAGCTGCTCGCAAATTGATGGCAAAAATGATCCGTGTTGGAATCTGAAGGCAAGAGAGGTGGCACTATGTTTGAACTTGAAGGCATCCGCGAATTCATTGTTCGTGTGAGTTCTTAAGAATCATACAGGCTGAAACAAAGGGGGATGTACCAGGTAAACAAACGGTTCTAGAGGTATTTGAAAACATAAGGGTGGCATTCTGTCAAACTCACCTCGTTCCTCATCCTTATTCAGATCAGCGAGGGAAAGTTCAACGATACAGCCCTTCAAGGAGTCATTGGCGTTCTCTGATGTGATGAATGATCAGTAATGTGACTGGTAAGGTGTGGGGCGATTGAGCAGGGTAGACTGACTCGTTCCAGCAGATCGGTTGGTGAGGGTCTTGCCAGTGTTTTGTTTCTTGAACATCAAAGGAGCCTTAACATTATACCAATCTAGACAGAATCAATGAGCAATCAAGCGAATACGCCTGTCACAACGTGAGGAGGGAAAGCCCTCAGATGAATCTGCACACACCTCTATGAGTGGAACGATCGGCGACTTATTTCTTGATACCCTTCTTCCCTTTCGAATGGGATTGATGCTCGGTACGTTTGATGGAGGGTGAGGATGTAGACATGGAATAAGAGCAAAAGTCGATTGATTTGTGCAGTTTATCTCTGTTTGACTGTTGAGAAGTGAATTTTTTTTTTCAGTGAAGACTTTATGGATTGGGTTCACAGAGGGTTGACTTACCAAGGACTTGATGTGAAAAGGCGAGTTAGATGAACTCAAATTCGGAGGAGGAGTACGACTATTCCTCTGTTGCTATCGGTGACCGGGCTTGATCAAGAGGTGTGAGAAGGAGCTGAACTTGATGTCTTATCGGCTCGTCTTCGGTGCCATCCCCTCGTCGTCAGCAGAGTGTGGAAATGTTGTCTGGAGATCGGGCGGGCCCATGTTGCAGTTCGGGCCTTGGTTTTTTTTTGTGCTATGGGGTTAGCTGGGAGGTCATCGGTTGATACAGAACTCGATGGGAAAAGAGAATCTGAGGACTTCGGCTACCTAGTTTGAAACACGAAGTCCAAAACTCGATTCGGTGGCAAAAATCGCTGGCGCGATTGTGTCGGTCCAGGGCTTCCGTATGTAACTCCTCACCATTCCAAACACAATCCAAGAGACTTCTCCTTGTAACTTTAAGTGACTTCTCCTTGACAACAAAATCGAAAAAGAAAGCATTTCCCAACTTCCACAGGAGGTCGTCGAAAAAGCAGCGCCCAATGGGGGGCTCGAACCCCCGACATTTCGGTGTCATCCACCTCGTTGAGAGGAGCGTAAAAGCCGAATGCTCTACCGACTGAGCTAACCGGGCCATTACACCACGGACAATTGCATGTCGCTCCCGCGCGGAGCGACATCTGGGGGTTTCATTGGGGGTTTCGTGCGCAGTGACTGCGCCTACTGCCGCAGTCACGCACGCGGATTCGTCAAGGTGACGGTTACATCCGGGGCGACACCCAAATGACCGTGGTGTTACGTAACGATTCGTTGCTGAGTATCAGAATACAAAACTACAATCCGCCTTCCTTATCGTACACTCTTCGTTTCAACATGCGCCCCCACACGATTCATCTTGCCTTGCATGAAGACGATTGGTGGGTATGCAGGACGTGCTCGCCATTGAGTGAAGGCGCACAACTTTCGCGAGGAGCGCAGATCGGCCGGTAGGTCCTCAGCAAGACGCTACCGATTCTTCGGTCCATGTGGACAGACGAAGTTTCAAAAGAAAACGGATGTTGGTTCAGGATTAAAAAGTGCGAATAGTGTAATTGCTATAAAGTGTACCAATCGCATGAATGGATTAAAATTAACTACATTGAAAGTCATCACATGGCGATATATATGTATATAATACCAGTTGACCTTTATAGAGCCCACAAAGAATGAATGGCTTTAGGGACTGGCAAGACAGAAGCAATTGAGTTTTTTTTGGATAGAAAGAACATCAGTTCGAATGATAATGATAAAGTAGAGCCGAACAAACAACGCTTGATTATTTACGCTTTTTTTCTTAATTTTTTTTCTTGCTTTTGTCTTATTTTTGCTTTGTTTTTTATTTGAAATCAATTAAAACCGTCAATGATCTTTTAATAATTTGAGAGTCAAAAAAGATACTACAAATTTTGGTGCAAATGTGTTTGACGAGCCATTTTATAAGACAAAAGCGCCAACCAGGAGCATGGCGAATACGGCGACAAGGCTTCCTGGAGAAGAGACTGATCGTAACGCAGATGATTGCTGTGCATTTTGAGCCGCGGTGGTCAAGTTGGCCCCTTCGACTTGCGTAATTCCCGCAGTTTCGGTCTACATCGCGAAAGGAAAAGCTCACATGATGTTAGGCTTGTTTTCAAGGATGCTCGGAAGGGACTTTCCCGAAAAAACACTCACGGCGTTGTTTTGGTTTGGTAGAGGGAAGGTCGGTGTGGCGGTCGAAGGATCAAACAGGCCATTGACGAGGTGAATGACTCCGTTCCTGGTGATAATGTCACTCTGAACAATCAGCAGAGTCTTTTCTCCTGAGCGGGCGTAAGTGCCGGTGCCATTGTTGATGAAGTCAATGTGGCTACCACCAGCAGAAGTTGCGTTCGTAACGTTTGCGATTGTCGTTGAGTATAGAACAGTTCCCTGGAGAGCAATCACATGTGTCAGACCAATCAAGGCAGCAAGAATATGCTTCTGGTCGATCAAGTCACAAGGGCAAAGCTTACGTTGACGATGTGGTTCACGAGGATGCCTGGCAAGTTGGTGTTTGGAGGAGGGTTTGCCAAAGCAGCATTGACTGGGGAATTTCAAGGAACACCTCCGTCAATGACCTTGAAGAAGGGACCGGAAATAGAATGATGGCTGTGCGAAAAACGGGACATACTAGGCGCAAAAATGGTGAGCCCGGGTGTTTGATCCAGCTGCTGGAATAGCTGAGGTGCCGATCCGTTGACAGCAGCGATAAGGCTGGAAAGCTCTGGGATCGCAGCTGCAGTAGCAGCAATTGTACCAGGGATAGTAAGCGCGTTGGGGATTCCCTGCAAAGCATCGTAAACGTAAGCTGACAAGTCTAAATTACGGCATATGATCAGGTTGGTTGGAAACACGAACAGCGATTTCTAGGTTATCAGCGCGGGTCGCATTTGAGACCGTAATATTTCTTGTGGGCTCAATGATGGTCAAAACACCATTGGGTTGCGCAGCCAAAACAAGCACTTGACTGTCATTTGCAGCTAAAAACCATGCAGAACGCGTTAATTTTGGAGGAAAATTTGCTCAAGGAAGAAGCGATGCCACTCACGAAGATTGACGTGGGGCGCTCCACGAAGTGCTGTTCGCACGATAGCGTGACCAGTGGGAGGCAATCGTGCAACGTCTACAGTTCCGGGCACAGTGTGGTAGTTCAAGAGTGCGGTGAGGTCTGCCGGACTCGTTGAATTGAGAGGGAGCTGCGCCAGTGCACTGTCGACGGGTGCAAACACAGTGTGGGGACCTTGCTGCAGTTCCGAGGCATAGCTCTGGCCGGCAGGGGATCCGATAAGGGTGGCTAGCGTACCAGCGCCCGCTGCACGCAGGGCATTGGGAATGGCACCAGTTGAGTTGCCCGCGGGAACCGGTGTTCCAGTGGCATTACCAGCGGTCACAGGGAGTGGGGCTGGGGTTGCGGTACCAGGAGCAGTCGGGGGCGCTGCAGTGGAAAGTAAGGAAATAATCAATAACTAGAGTGGTGAAAACGGAGAAACCCCAAAGGAAATACCCACGATTGGCAGTAGCACAGACTACAGCAGGAGTCAAGGCGAGGCCTGCTGCAATATCGCCTCCATTGCAGTTTTGCCTATGAAGTCAGAGTGTTCACATGAGCACCGTGAATTGACGAAATATAGTAGGATGGAATGGAAAGGCCTACCTCAAGCACTGATCATAAGCCGTTGAAAAGATCTGGGGGTTTGAACAATAACCCTCAGAAACCTTGACGGTCGCACAATTGCGAACACATGGCGAGACGTTGGCAGGGACTTGAGCGGAGACGTGGTTGAGGCTCAGAGCCAACAAGAGAGCTCCAGAGAGTGAAGTGAAAGCAGACATGCTGTATGTGGTTTCGTCGAAAATATTATTAGGAGAGAAGTGCTTGGGCTGCGAAAGTGTGAATCAAATTAAGGAGAGAAATGAACGGTGAAAAAAATGAGGAAGGTAAGTAAGGAGGGAAGCAAAGGTCTCAGTTTGGATTTTGAACTGGGTGGAGGGGGAAAGAGTGGCGAGAAGCAACTTTGAGAGTGAGACTAAGTATGAGAAAGTTGGATTTACAGTAGTTTTGAGTGCACCAAGTTGACAAGTCAACTAGACGGGCAGATAGCGAGACAAGCTGGAGATACACAGGGTCCTAAGGTTGTATGGATGGGCAAGAGGTAGAAGTTAGCAGGCGGGTTCAACAAGGTCACTAAGGTCAGGAGGGATGGAAAACAGACCGAACTGAGTTGTGAGTTGGAGGATGGGATGGGATGGACGGATGGAGGGAGGAGGGTGGAGATGGAGAGGTGAGGCTGAGGAGAGGGATGAAAGGGATGGGGGTGACTATTTTATAGATCGCCAGCTGTGGTCGATCGGCTGACCGACGTGCAGGCTTTCAGAGGGAGAGAGAGTGCTGAATGAGGATGATCGAGTAAAAGGATATTACCGATCGATTGGAGCCGCGGACGTACCGGGATGGCTGATTGAGTAAGTTGCGGGCCAACAACTCCCAGAAGTCAAGCCAAGCAAGGAAGCACCGCCGATCAGATTGAGAGGGAGGAAGCACCACTTTACCGATGGGATCCGAGCTATGCATGTAAATAAAATAAATAGATAGATGTCGGGAGTCAAGGGAGAGATGAAAGAAAGACCCGGAAAACAGCACGCGCTTCGGTCAAGGCGACAAATCACCACCATTCGGCACACTGCATCAATCCCACCAAGCCTGAGTCTGCGGGCCATCGCCAGCCAGTTTCACTGGTCTCGGAATTCGAAAAAACTCATACATAAATGAATGCGTGCCAAGTAGCCAACGGCCACAGCTAATGACGACAACTCGGTCAGCTGCTGGATTAGGTCTTTAGCGCAGATCTATCCAGCCGTTGGTGATACAAACAATAGTGCTGCATACAACGAGCTCTTCGGTAGGGAGAAGATTCAAGGAGTTCTGCAGTGTTCTTTTATTTATTTAAATGCTTAGTCCCAAGGAAAGCTTATTCTGCTTCGGGTTGGTTGAACTCCGAACCTTTGTAAGGCACGCATTTCTTTCGGCGTGATGTGATCCGACAAGATCACGTTCCAAGGATGCGTGCGGAGAAAGTGTTCTGACTAAGAACCCTCCAAGAAGATGTTAAAGCCATCAGTGACGTCAATGAAAAAGAGAGGAGCGGAGAAGAATTTTACACGTGCAACTGCAAACCAACCAGATCAGTGGTCGACAACCTCATAAAAGGGCGAATGAACAAATCGAGCCATGTAGGAAGCCTAATAGGCCGTCGGAGAGGGTGATTTCCAACTGAGGGTTACTGGATCCTGCATGGAAAGGAAACTATGTGTGTCTGGTCACGCACGGCAGCTCCGCCTGACCTACAGCACTTGCCTCCCCGAGGCGACCAGCTGCTCCTCTCAACGGCTTCATAAAGCCATCAAACCAGAAAGGTGAAAGAGCGGCATTCTTTAGTCTATAACTTCCCAATCTTAATTTTCGCTTACAAAAAACCCGCTTGAAAAAGAGCCTAAATATGTGTTCAAACTGGTCTCTGATGGAAGGAAGTGAAGAGGTTTTTTTTAATGCGTTGCTTGGTCAATGGCATCGCCCGTTGGAACCGAAAGAAGGATTTCAGATGGTTTTCTAAATTCCATCGAGAACGTCATCCGAGAAGCGAGAAACATCGACAAATTTATAGGCGATTTCAGTTATTAATTATGTAAATCCAATTCCTTCGCGGCACAAGATGGTCATTCGATCAGATCACAATCAAATTGCGTAGACGTCTGCCGCTGGTCGGGTTAAGTGGCAATCTTCCAGCAGATAAACAGATGTCGAGAAGAATGTCCCCTTTGATGTTTCGATCAGGTCATGACTTCTGCCTTGATTTCTCTCCAGCCCCGACGTGGCTTCAGATGCAATGAGAGGCAAAGATATTAAACACGATCAATGGAGTCTCCCCTTGCGCTTTGAGAACTAAGGTTTGTCTCATAAGAGGCCATCACAATGCCAACCAGTCTTCAAGTAACCTGGCCAAGTATGAGGATTCTCGATGGAAATCCTTCCGTTTGAAAGTAAGAATCTGCTCCAAAAAACAGCCATAGGTAGATGAGTCACTGGCAACATCACATCAAGCTTGGAATCCTAGTCAAAAATCAACCTATGCAATTCAGCAAAAGTCACTGAACTTTTGACAACACACCAATCCAGTCAGTTGTAAGTTGCCAGGTGACCACAGAGGTGTAAGACTATGTTTGTCTTATGATGATGGGCCATACCAATGCTGACCAGTAAGATTCAAGTATTCACTGCTGCATAACCTGGCCAAACATGATGCTTCTCAACAAAGATCCTTGCTGGCATAATCTGCTCTGGAAAACATTCAACAAGTTCAGTTTGTAATTTAGTTTGGCAAGTAGTCAATGAATTTTTGACAACACACCCATCCCAGAATATGCAAGTCAAAAAACCCACCTTGAATAACTATATCAAGATCCTTAATGTTGACAAATGAAAAGTATTCGATGATCAGACAATCAAGACCAGCAAGCTGTTCTCCCAAAACAAGTCTCATGAGGAATGGAGCTTCAAGCCCAGCCAACTGGTTCCAGCAGGTCAAGTTCCAAGCTAGCACAAGGCCGCTGCTCAGTAGCTGAGACGCATGTGGCACTCCAAACAAACCGATACATTGGTCCAGGCCAGCTTCAAGACATCCTTATATGCACAGATTATTCTACTCTACATAGTCTGGACATTTTGTATCTCTCTCCTCTGATTCCAGTCCAACCCCCCTCAAAAAAATTATTTATCTATTTCAAAGGTGATTGAGAGCACTACTTATTTGCAGGGTTAAGATATCTACAACCAAGTTTGACATTGCAAACTCAAATAACCCAATTGTATGTAGACCCAAATCAACTCCATCTTTGCGCTATGACACCTCTTCCCAAAAGGACCCCCCCCACAGTTAGATGTAGCTGTTGTCAACTGAGTGGTTCCGGCTGCGTAGGTGTACTATGCATAGACCCACATCGCTACCCTATATCTACATATAACTAAAAAAATAGGCTTAGAGAGCCAAACAAACTGTCATGCAATCTAACGCCGGTGTCGACCTCCAATTCACATTTGTTGGATTTGTTGACGCCGGCGTTAGACCGAGGCAGACAGGTGTCCAACTCAAGAAAACCCCAAAGGTCATCAAGTAAAACCCCCAACATCTGGGGCAAAAACAAGCAGCCTCCCCAAATTTGGGGGCATATACTAGTTCAATATAAAAAATTTGAACTCAAAACCAACTTCAATTCCGTGCCTCGAGAAGGGAAGGGCCGATCAAAAACTTTCTTCATCCCCATTCACTACTCACTGTTCAGTCCCTTAATCACCTATCGATACACACCCAAACTGCAAAATTGTTGTACCGCCTAACCACTTGCTTAAGACCAACGGAACTCAGGAGGAGCTCAGTCATAACACAAGTGGAGGTACACTCGGTTCTTTTTCCTTTTCTTCTTTATCTCCTAACTCAATTGTTTCAGATTATTGATCCTATTTCATTTCATCAGGCTTGTTGTTGTTTCAATTTCTCCTAATAACTGTTTTGTGCGTCTAAGTGTTGATTTGTAGTCAGGACAAGAATATCTGAAGGTACATGAAGAATTCATTTCCCGCTTCTCGTCATTTTCTATTGTTCCAATCTTTTTTCTTCTTATTGTTCTAAGTGCTTTACTACTATTAGCTTTTGGATAAAAGTTGCAATAAAGTACTTGATCTCAATTCCTTGCAGCTGTATATCCAAGTCATAATTCTATCTCCATGGCCAACCCACAACTTGTTTTTTCCAAGGATAGCATACACGTATGGACACCAGATGTGACTTACAGACAAGTGTACATAGACTAGAATCAAAGAATCACATGCAGTACAGCACTCTTCTTGTGGGACACAACATGTCAATAGAGTTCTCTAAAATCTATAGTGTGAGCAGATACATTGATCTATCAATTCATCTATTTTTTTATCTAACATAAGATTTTTTTTAAAAAGAAAAAGGAAGGGAATGAAAGCAGAATATGAGAGCCAAAACCATGATCTTTATATCTCACTGTGATTGGAACCATCATCATCATCACCATCCACATCATACCCAGAAAAAAAGAAAAGAGATGCAAATAAGAGGACAGAAGAAAACAGAGGGATAGATAATTAGCCACAAAATGGGTGTGGGAGAGTACCAGATTTTTTATATCTGTTGGATCCATATTCACATATACATCTAAAAAAGGAATGTATTGAAGTATCTATCTATCTAATTCTACTAACTATACCAACTGCAAAACAAAAGCAAGTTTTTTTCATCCTTCTTCTTCTTCTGAGTGGGGGAATTTTCGTTCTCTATTGATGGAGTGTTTTGATTGAATGGGATTCATGAAGGTAGCATTATTTAGAGCAGAGGAAGTATATAACTGTGTAGAGTCAAGACAAGAAGAAGACACAGAAAAGTTCAAGGAAGGAAGTGAAAGAATGTAAGTGAATAGTCTGAAGAAGAAAAGAAACAAAACAGATAGAATTAATCTGAGAGGATTTGACCACAAGTTTTGAACAGCAAAAAAAACAAATGTGTGTGTACCGCAAGGTAAATCTCCCAATCAGAGACAATCAGAAACAGAGAAGAGGATGTGATAAGGGAGCTCTATGTGTGAGTGGGGATTTGGCTCGTGGATCATCCGGTTGGATTCTAGGAGGTTTTCACGGCCGAGGGTTGGCGAGCGGTCCTGGATGTAGAAGCGGAAGGACTGTTCACGCCGTTGGTGGCTTTGGAAGACTTGGTAGACGAGCTTCCTTGGATGTATTTAACCAGATCGTCGATACTGACTGGAGAACCGTTTTGGACTGTTGATCAAAAAAAAAAAAGTTCAAGTGATCAGAACAAGAGAAAAAGGACGGAGCGATGTTGGCTGTTGTTGATTCACCAAATTCAAATAAGAGCAGACGAGGAAAAAGTACTAACCTGGAGGGCGGATTTTGGGAGCCAAAGTTTCTTGAGGGCCGATCAATCGTTGATCAGAGGGTGTCTTTTGAGCGAGTGAAGACTCAGCCGAGACGGCCGAAGTGGCGGAAGAAGAAGAGGCCAACAATCTCGCGCGCAAGCTGGCAGCACGTTTGGGATCCAGGCCGAGGCGCTTAGCCAACCGGTTGCTTTTTTCTTCGTCGCCCTTGATCTGGGCCTCGATTGAACGACAGATCGAGTCGTGCAACTGGTTGGCTTGCTTGGTCTGGTCGTGATCTTCTCCGAAGCGATTCGCATACAGCTTCTTGGCTTCAAGTCCAAACTTGATGGCTTGTTCCTTTTGTCCGCTTTGTGCAAACATTTGGGAAAGGATCAGAGTGGCCTCTGCAAACTTCCCTGAGTCCGTTCCAAAGAAACTTCCGATCAATGCTTGCGATAAGCCGAATATCGAATCTGCTCGTGGTGATTTGCTCGGATCCAGTGTTGATTGGGCGAGAACGCCTGCATGTGTCTTTATTTTATTTGATTCAGAAGAAGGGGAAGGAAAAACGATTAGTATTTAGCGAGAATCAATGATGTTGATAATGCACTTACGACTGAGGCGGACGCATCAGGATGACACCCAGGTCCGTAAACGACATGCCAAAGCTCTAACGCATGCTTTGTATATCTCATGGCTGTATCACTATTTCCCAAATGATATTCCATTACGGAGAGATCAGAGTACTGTTGGATTGTTTCTGGGTGATCCAATCCTAGAGTACGTTCAGCCACGATGACACTCTGCGAAGATTATTGGCAGCCAGTTGGATGTAGGTATCGATCTCGTTTTTCAACGCTTCTGGTTCCCGATCTCTTTGGTAAGACTCAATCCGTTCCTTGACTTTCTCGCGATCCTCCTCATTGCTGGCAGAGTGATAGATTGCAGAGAGCTCGAGCAATCTATCGTTGTATTCGGAGAGCTCAACCAAGGTCCGCTGTGAGAGCTGATGGTAAAGGATTGCCAATGAGTGCCAATGTCGGCACATTTCGGGATGGACAGATCCGAAGACCTGTTCGTATGTTGTCAAGGCATCTGTGCATAGCTCTTGCCCAAGCGCAATATCACCATTGGAGAATGCCTTTCGGCCCTCAGCATACAGCTCATCCGCCACAGAGCTTCGACAGGTCGAATCTCGGACGATGGGAAGTATGTTCAAGATATCACTCGGTGAAAAGGTTTGCCCGTCAGCACTTCCGGAAGAGGAAGCTGTCCCTTTCTTCGACTTCGATTTCTTCTTCTTCTTGAGCTGCTTGGGCGCAGATGGCGCTGCTGACTCATTCGGCGTCGCTCCTTCGGTCGAATTTTCATCATCTGTGCAGTTCGTATGTCCATTGGTAGCGGGCACTGGCTCTTCTGTGGCTTGTACAGTCTCAGCGTTTTTCTGGACTTGCTCGTTGACGACCTGGGCGTGTCCATTAGTAATCGCTTCCGGTAATGGAGAGCACAGGTTGTAGTCACGTAAGCACAACTGAATCCCCATACGCGTGCAAATTTCTCTCAACAATTGAATTTTGGTACGGGGGAGCCGTTGAGTGAAGTAAGAATTCGGTAGAGCGTATCGGAAACGACGACGTATTGAGCTGGTGATTAGACTTCTCAGTGAGTGGCGAGTACAAGTTCTCCAAGTGGAAGATGAATCAAGATGTTGCTCGGAGGATGGGACGGCAGCGGATTGGCCTAGAAGGCAATTGAGGAAGTGTGAGATGCAGTGGCAAGCTTCGTTCTCAGATGTGTTGAGCAGCATCTCGTTCAAGATGTGCTTGCAAGCCCGGAAGACCATTTCACTTTGCAGTAAGCCGATCGAAGCATTCAAGATCACGTTTTGATCGGTCTTGTTGTCTGGTGATGCAGATAGTGCAGTGGCGAGTAATTGCAAACGATGGGTTATGTGACCAAGATATCGAATGTTGACTCCACGGGAATGCAAAAAGTCACTCAGACGTCTACCATCTGCAGGCAATCCTTTGACTTCGGATAAATCTTGAACAACGGTGACCAAGAGCTGTTCCCGGACGTACTTGGAAAGCTCTTTGACCAAGGCCATACCTTGGTCTTCTTTGTCCTGGGGAAGTGTCCAGGGTTGATCCTTTCGATCAACAAAAGCATCAGGATTTAAGCCAAACTCGAAGTTCTCTTTGACCGACGCATCCGAGCCATCGTCCGTCGACATGTCTGGGTCCACGACAACATCTTCTCCAAGTCCTTCTGTTGATGCCTCAATAGGTTTTCCATCAGTTTTCGAGTCGGCAGTTGCTTGGGAAGCTTGCTGCTGCTGCTTATGCTTCTTGATGTGATTGAGGGCGAATTGACGGAACTTGTGTTGTTTGAAGGCATTGATTGCTTCCGTCCGGACTACGGTAAATCGATGAGGAAAGGTGTCCTGAGTAGGCTTGGCTGATGTTTTGGAGACGGCCGGCTCGGAAATTGGAGTTTTACCGTCTAGGATGGGTCCATCAATGTCATTCTCGATGAAAGATACATCAAGAGGCGCCATTCGGTCTGGAATGATAAGAAAAGCAATGCGTCAGTTGTTTAAAATCATCCAGAAATTGATAGAATAGGCAGCAGAATAAGATGACTAACACAAATCTATCAGGTAGCATCTGCCATCAGTAGCTCTGATACCATGAACATCTGCACTGAGCCATAGACGGTGTGTTCGACCATTGACATCAATCACATCGTGCTCAGAAAGATTGAAACCGGCAGCGACTTGGGCAGCCAGTCGATGGAACTTGGGATCCGATCTCAATCCCATCTCTGGTTTCTCAATATCGGCACTTCCATAGAGAATATCGTAGGTAGTCGGTGGGGAAACCTCTTCAGGGACGGCGACTGTGCCCAGTTGGGGTGTGACCGGAAGAGATCTGTTGACTTTTTCCCAGTCGCCCTCGTCTTTGTCATCGGGTGTTGAATGCCCGTTGATTTGTGATTGTTGAGCTGCGAGATCTTGCTGTGCCTTCTCAGCCTCGAGGTCTGGGGGGCGGAAGATTCCAGGGATCATACCCTGGGCTATCCAACGTTTCCCATGATAATCGACGACGGCACTGCCCATAGTGTAAATGCCGGGAACATCAAGTTGGTTGAGATACTTGATGCTGTGGAGGTCTTTGCTTGCGATGGCACGAGCTGCAGCGGTACCGCCAAGATGTTCGTAAGCGCCGATAGGGTCTTCGGCTCGACTGAAGAGGATGTTGTTGAGCACGTAAGTCCAAGCAGATTCCGGCTCTTGAGGGTTCAAGGCGGGCACCTCGCCCCTGCTACAGCTGATTACACCCCTGGTGGCAGCCATGCTGAAGTCAGACTGGAGTCGACTCCATATCCTTTCCCTCAGGATACGTTCAGCAAGCGATTTGCGTGGGAGCTCCCGAGCTTGCGCGAACTCGTCAGCCCAGTCGCGAGCAGGCGGCAAGGTTTCGGCTGTCGTGCTACCCGTTATCAAGTATGCCAACTGGGATCGGATAGCATCAGGAGAAGGTTTCTCCGGATTGACGAGCCAGGGGAAGGCTGGCAAACAATTAGTGATTGAGATTGAGGTGAAGAAATCGGGAAAGGCCGGGTTCAGAGCCCGATTCCAGGTCTGGGTAACTTGCTTGACAAATGCTGGCGAGAGAGTACAGATCAATTGGGTGAGTGTGTGAAAATAGACTGAATCGGGGGACGAGTCGCTGGACGGAGACGGATCAAATTGAGTTTTGGTGGATTTATTGACGTAGAAACCTTTAGTGTGGCATGTAATTTCGTAAGAGACGTTCTCGAAGGTAGTGATAGCTAGATAGAGATAGTGGCCACGTAAGCGATAATGATGGGGAGGAGAGTTCCAGGTGGAGAGCGCAAATGATTTGAGATAGCGAGCAGAAAGGTTTGGTTCGCGAGGTTCTGACTGCTCTCCCATTAACGAACTGAAAACTCCGAACGGATTGGATGAGTTGAAGCGATAGTTGCCTAAACTTTCAATGGCGGACTCTTGGGCAGCAGGCTCTGGTGCAGCTTGAGGCATGTTGACAATTGATGAAGTTGGCTGTGATGATTTCTTCTTCTTTTTGTTTTTGCTTGGACCTGTGCCCGGCTGATCGGTCAAATTTTGCTCACAAGCCGGCGAATCGGCGCCGGTAGTGCCTTGATCTCCTCGGACGAAAGGGAAAAGGCTGACGGCACCGGAGATACCGATTTGAGATGGATCATAGGGCGGGAAGGGAGTCGGGTTCCCTACTAGAAGGCCTGGGGCTTGGGAGTACAAAACATCTCGTAGTCTAATGACGTGAAGACGAGCCGAGTATTCGGTGTAGTCGACTGGCAATTCCAAAAAAAAAAGAAGAAGAAAAAATCAGTGAAAATCCAATGAAGTTAACAAACACTGCTCCAGGTTTAAAAAGTTGCACTGAACTGTTAATGGCCAGTAACGCTCGCTTCGCATCTGGATCCTTGAATTTATCGGATTGGAAGGCTGATGATAACTCGGCAAACTCTCCGTAGACGGTTCGAACTGACAACTGCTGCGGGTCTGGTTTGCCATTTGGATCGAGTTCGACGCTGGCCAGTCCGATAGATCCAAGCCACCAGCCTTCAGCGGATTCAATGACTGATTGCTGGAGTTCTCGGATGGTCTCTGGTCCATGGGCCGGTAAAATGAGCTCGATGTACTCGGATTCGGGTTCTGGATCTGCGTTTGGCTGGGAGGGTGTCAGGTTGACCTCCGAGCAGAAGTTGGGACGAGGGATGAAAATCGAGAGTTGGAACCCGGCTGCAAGAACAAGGGAACCAAAATCAAAATTATTAGCAACTGAACACAGGTCTTGACTGGACTCTTGCGGATGGGCAAGTACTGATACTTTGAGGTGACAATTCGACAGTCAACTGGAAGGAAAATGAGGAGCCTGGTGCGGGGAGGCTGATGATCAAACACATCCGGATGTGAATGTTGAGGACTAACCGGGTTCCGGGTCTGCCGGTGTGGTATCATTTTGGGATTGCTTGGCCTCCTCTTCATTTTTCTCCTGGTTGGCTGGAAGTTCGGTCACTTCCGGAGTTGGATCAGCAGCCATGACGGACGATATGGAATTCAAATTCAACAGATTCTGGCCAAAGATGCTACGTGTGTTCTGTGAAGGAAATAGCAACAGGCTGGCCGTTAGAAGTGTTTTCTCTGGCTGGAAATGACAAGTTTCACTGGGGAAGGGTTCTTACCAAGGGTATGCCAGTGAGGGGATGGTCTGAGTAAGTGTTAGGATAGTCGAGTGTTTATCCAACAGGAGGAATTTGACAAGAAACTGAACCGGTCGGAAATTTTCGGGACTATGGAACAGGGATTGATTAGGTATCGAGTGAGCTTACCCAAACTGGGGTAGGAGAAATTGGAAATGTTTCGAGTGGATGTGAAAGATGTCCACAGACTGGGTGTGAGTATTTTTTGATTTTTTTCTTTTTTTGGTTTTTTGGTTTTTGTGGTGAGGAGATGGATGGAGGATGTGGGTTAGGTCAAAGATGTGGGCAACTTGGTGGGTTGTGTAATCATTTATGCAAAATTTTACCGGACAATTGCTTTCTGCCGCCCTTTTTGTCTAGCTTGTTTTTTTTTTTTTTTCAACTGGACAGAAGAACAGACTCTCCAAAAGGAGAAAAAGGGGGGGAAAAAGGAAAGGATAGGGTTCTGTATCAAATAACTAAGGCTGGAAGGGACTGGTTGTGGTTGCCGTTGCACCAGCAAATTTTAAGAAAATCGAATCACGTAGATACAAGTGTTATTCAGCCATAGATAAGGGTAGATAGAATCTGAATTGGCATGTACTCTACTGTAGTGTAGATTGCGAAGGTCCCTGTGAAGTGAGATATAGAGGGAGCCGGAGAAAGACGAAATTTAAACGAAAGGCTCCGGGTCTTCCAAGCGGAGGAAACGGACCAAAACCTTCCAGCCCAGCGGATCTTTCCGACCCAGTTGACGGAAGTGGATTTTTGACACAAAAACAAAACAAAACAGTTTCATAACCAACCCATACATACACGCGCTCCATAACTTCCACCCGTCATGGCTTAGCTCGAGGCCGAAGATCGGATGAAACGCAACCGTCTCCTTGCGCCTGCAAGATTGGAGACCCTTGAACGCAGGACTGACGAGGCCATGAGCATCGTAGCATCCAGAAGGATCGATGTATTTTAAGTTTTTACTCAGCTGAACAATGCCGGGATCCCCGCAGGGCACTTACGGTCTTTGCCCCGCCAAGACGGAGGCGATCGGATTCGACCTGATCGGATAAAAAGCTACAATATAGCAGATCGATATCTTGGCCGGAAAAGTCAGCAAGAGTTGAGGCAGAAGGATCACCCTGATCTGCGGCCTATTATTTGTGCGTGGTTGGCAGAGAGAACAACAAAATACGCACAGAACCTCTCCCCAATTTTTTCGGGCTTTTTCTGGCTTGTCAGTTGTATCGACCCAAATTCTGGGTAGTTAATACAATCTTTTGCCACAACATTAACAACCAATATACGGGATCACAATCTGAGCCCAACAATACATATGACATCAGCTGAGGCCTGAGGGGGAAAAGAGTGTGTACATCCCATCCTTTTCAACTAACTACAAAATGCATAAAATGTCTCTGGACAACTTGATCAAAAACACAAAGACTGGGGGTCAGCTCCCCAATGTGTCAACAGGGCCGTCCAACTCCAATTCCAACCGCCTGCTTGGATTACCATATGTGTGGAACAAGTGGGAACAAGCAAACAAACTCATGTGACCTCCACTCTTGAGTAAGGATGTGATCCGTGACCATCCAATCCGGTGATACCCGCCGGGATGTGGCCAGGAGAGATCAGATATCCAGCCTCTCGTTTTTGCAGTATCTTACCTTTCTGTGGGATGTACCTCAGCAGGCAAAATGGAAATCTTCAGTGCAAGAAATAGTACATCTGTTGACCGACTTCTGAGGAGGGACTGGAATCAGGATCAATAGCCTGTGGAAAAGCTTTCTAGCACCCAATGTTGTTCTTAATTTCAAGTAGATCAGTAGTGATGGGAGGTTAAAGCTCCACCAATACTAAGTATAAGAAGAAATAAAAGGGAAATTGATTGATTTCCCAGCTTAGAATTAATGGGATTTGAGGTCTCTAGTTAATGAGCTAGGTAGGCGCAGATAGTTGAGAATATAAGAGTCATTGGCAGGAAATGGTACAGTCGCGGATGGCAAAAACCAACCCTGGATTTTGAGGGTGTCCGAAATTTTGAGCAAAAAAGATAGATTTTTTTTGCTTACAGGGTTTTTTTAGCCCTTTTGCGCCTACATAACTTTGAAATATTACCTCAGAGTATTGCATAACCACTCGAAATAGGTGCTACAGGTGCTTTAAGAGGCATAAGGCCATGAATAAGCCTAACTTAAACCCATAGTTATGGGTTTAAGTATGGCTTTTGGTAGGCATGTCCAAATACATGCTTGTCATACAAATAAAAAAAAAGAACCGCTTGAGTAGAACCTTAGCGGTTACAATTTTGAACTCTATACATCTGTAGGAGTTCAAAATTGTAATAAAAATTAGTATTGAGGCATAGGCCCGCGTGTCCATTTTGGACTTTGCGGGCGGGGCATAGTTGGTCTATGCCATCCGCAACTGTAGTGACTTTTGCTGGAAACTTATGAGTTGTGGGGTTGACATACAAGATTAATTTTCATATTTTGATGAATAAGAAGGCCTTAAATTTGCAGTTGATATTTTCCAGGGCAAAGCTACTTTGACCTCTGGTTCTTAACTTCAACTATGGATTTTGAGTGTTCCAGAGGTAGACTCCCCAATGACATCAGACATCAGACTGCAATGCATCATGAAACTGTCTATTAATGTTTCTCAAGGTTTATATGATAAAAACCAGGACTTTGACCAAATGACCAAGAGGCTATCCAGGAAAATCTCAGAGATATCTTACAAGGGTTCAATGTGCCCTAATTTCTATCAGAAGACTGCCAGCTTTTGTGGAACAAAAGCACTCATGCCAACACTGAAACCAATCTGATCCAATACAGAATTGGCTGATTTATCAGATCAGATCAGTTTTTCAATACCAGGTATCAAATAAATAGGGGATTGAATCAACCTAGCAACCCAATCAAAAGAGTGCTTATCGGGATTGGGATTGCAATGTGATCCCAATACAATGCCCAAAAGCTGTGGGCCACTAGTCTCATGCTTTCGTATTATCAACAGCATATCCAGATTCCAATCCAAAGCCTGGATGGGTATTTATTGGGGATTGGGATTAAATTGCTCTATGCAATCCCAGTTCTCCAATAAATTGGGATTGTATCAGATCAATCTCCAATCCCAATACCCAGTATTGGGTCTCATCTTGATCTGATCCCCAATAAATACCATTCTGGGTATTGGATTGGTTACATTGTTGCTCATGCTTCTGGAGTTTTTATCTATTATAAACCTCAGGGATCAGATGTAGGAGAACAGATGACTTTATTTCTACTGGAGCAGGTGTGACTTAAGCTGTTACAATAGTGGGGCCAGATTGTGGGGCAGAATAAGAAATCATGCACATTCATCTTTGAAAAGAGAGAGAGAGATACAGTGAAATTTCGTGTTTATATGGAAATAAGAGGCTCTTGCTACTCTGGGGATTCATATTCTGGCTATCTTCAAACTCTGGCTTGGTTCCCCAGAAAAAATATTTGAAAAAGATTGAAAAAAACTTTCAATTTTTTGGTTACTCATTATATCAAAGCACCATAAAAATTGAGGATACTTTTACTATCTGGAGATGCTATTTGTACATTGTACGCCGGAGAACTTTGCCTGGATATGTGATAGGAGGAATTAGCTCAGCTCATACTTTTTCAATGATAAACATGTGATGTAAGAAAGTACCTCTAGAGTCCAATTCATATATTATTGGAAGGGCATTTTTCATCTCTTCAATGGGTACCGGCTTTAACTGCGAGCCCTCAATTTGCTTCATAAGGGAACTTTTTGTTGGCATTCGTGGAAGAGGCAGAAATCAGAGAAAGGTATGATATATTAGTGCTAGATTTGTGTAGAGAAATGTTACAAACTAAATTGGGTTCCTGCTAATAGCCACTAAGATATTCTTTCCAGCTAAGACTTTGTTCTTTATTTCATTCATGTAGTAGGATCGTGCTCGGTTCTCACAGTATCGTAAAGTCTCACCCCCAGGAGGAGCAACATCAGCAACGTTTTCATACTCGATACCATACCACAACTTGACCTGATCTTCACCAAACTGCGCGCAGGCCCGATCCTTGGTCCATTTACCCAAGTCTCCGAAGCTTCGTGTGTTGAGTTCTGCAGCCTGCTTGGTCGGAATACCTTGACAAGCGAGGGCTCTGAGAATGACGGTCAAAGTGTCTTGAGCGCGTTTCAAACCGGATGTATAAGCACAATCGAAAGCAATGTTGTGACTTTGTACAATGTTGGCAGCATATTGTGCTTGACGGTATCCCTCGGTGGTCAGTGGTACTTCAGGCCAAGAAAACTTTCTTTCCGCTAGAAGTGGGAGTAATCATGTTATCAGTACAAGCTGGAAATCTTGATGGGTGCTACATGGCTAGGCATGTCCTGAAGCATACCATTAGCCACACTTTCGCCATGTCTTATCAAAACAATTTTTGAATGAGTGGTGCCTGTTTAATTTATACCATCATGTCGATTTTCAGCAGGTTACCAGATGTCGCGAGTGATTTTTAATTTTAGTGAGAGATGTGAATTGATGCAAGCTCTGGCACTTAAGGGAAATAGAAAAAAACAAATCATACCTTGGTTGTAGTGTTCAATTGTCTTACTCAACTCAGTCTCAAAGCAACCTGATTGAAGGAAGAAGGAGAATAGCAATTGTATGGACGTCTTTAGTGGGAAAAGGTTGATGAAGTGGACCTAGCAAATTGGGGAATCAGAATCTGCTGATTGGATTCTTCAATCTTTTTATAGCCTTGAGAAAAAAAAACGGAACTGATCATCAAGCACCATTTCTTGCATCATTTGAGGGGGAATCTCAATCCAGACCAACATAAACAAAGCTCATGAGGCTGCACATTGACCAGGCTATCGGAGATCATCCCGCAGTAGAGAAAAGAGTCTTGTTGAGTTGGATTTTAGATGCACATCCCTCACTTAAATTTAAAACAGTTGAAAGGTTCCCGAAAAGCTAATTTTCTTTTGGGGTTGGGAGATCCTTGGCTTTGTTTTTCCTAAAAAATGCCTCTGCTCTTGAGTAAACTCTGAGCTAAACTGACAGGATAAAGCTCTTTTTTTTGTTTCAAGTTGGACTTCTGTTTCCCAGCCCTCAAAACAAATCACTTGAAACTATTACACAAGTTCCCCAAAGAATAATTTTATTTTGGGGTTGAGATCAGATTCTTGGATTATATTTACAAATTCCGCTGATAAGGAGTAAACACTGAGCTAACATGAGTGCAGTCAGGTGAAAATGAAACACACATGTGTAAAATGAAACCATTTTTTTTTGTATTTGGACTTCTGATGCCTGGTCCTATTTTTTGTAAGTTGCACCAAAAAAACAACAATCACTTGTGACTTCATGACAAGTGACATTTGGCTTGAGAACAAGTCCAGAATGCTAATAATTACATACCCAGCTCAACTCTGTCTCATCCCCCTGTATCACACAAAGGCATCATTGCATTTGGGCTTCAGTATATAGAGTTGGACCTACAGTGGAGCAGTGATAAATGTTAAATGATTGCACTTGCCATCTAGTGAGCATTGATTTTTCCTGGTGTTGGACTTCTGGGGTCCACCCCTCATAAAAATCACTCAAAATTTATTTTGTGGCTGGGAGATGTTTGACTTTTCCTTTTACAGAATGCCTCAGCATTATAGACTGAGATAGCATGATTTTAGTGAAGTAAAAGTGAAACAAAAATGTGCAAAAGTTAACCATTTTTTGTTGATGGTCGCAACTCTAAATTCTGATGCCTACCTCTCAACCCAAGTCACTCAAAGCAATTTCAAAGCTTGCCAGAAGATAGTTTTATTTTGGGGTTTGGGAGAGATTTTGGGATTTTATTTTACAAATTGTCTCAGGAGTGTGTAAACATTGAGCTGAACAGAGTGTATTCAGTGAAAATTTAAGCACATATGTGTCACATGTAACCATTTTTTAACATGTAACCATTTTTTGTAAGTTGGAATTCTGATGCCCAGCCCTCACAACACATCACTTGTAAAACATGCCAGCCAGAATCTTGCCACACATTGCAAGATAATTTTATTTTGTGGAAGGGAGAGATTCTTGGCTTTTTCTCTAAAACAAATGTCTCAGAAACAAATACTGAGCTAACCAGATTGTAGTCAGGTAAAGATGAAGCACATATGTTTAACATGTTACATTTCTGTGTGAGTTGAATGTCAAATTTCCCTGAAAGCTGCTTTTATTTTGGGGTTGTGCAGGCTTAACCCTTTTTTGTAGCAAGTTGGATTTCTGGGGTCCAACCCTAACAAAAAATCAGATACCCCCATCTCACAAGTCCACCAAAGGGTAATTTTCTTTTGGTTTTAGGAGATTGTTGGCTTTTTTTTATCTTTTAAAAGATGTCTTTGAACAGGATTAAACACTGAGATAACATGAGTGTAGTCAGGTAAGAGTAAAACACATATGTGTAAAACATGACCATTTTGTGGTGGTAAGTTGGAATTCTGATGTCCAGCCCTCACAGCAAATCACCTGAGACAACTTCAAAGTTTCTCAAAAGATAGATTTTTTTTGGGTTAGGAGAGATTTTTTTTTTTTTTACAAAATGTCTCAGAATCAAACACTGAGCTAACCAGATTGTAGTCAGGTAAAGATGAAACCAACGGTGGGCCGCTACACTACACTACGCTAAACGGCCCACTAACGTTAGTGTAGCGGCCCTCAGAACAGCATGCCAAACATGTAGTGTTAGCGCGCTGTTAGTGCCACTACGCTACGCTACAGCACTTTTAGCGGCAAAAACGGCCAAAAAACCGCTAAAATGCGCTGTAGCGCAGCGTAGTGGGCCCTTTTTTGGGGCCCACACGTGTAGCGTTAGCGCAGATACAGAAATCTGCGCTAACGCTACCCTACAATGTAGTGTATTTGCGCTACACTACACTAGGCTAACACTACCGTTAGCGTAGCTGGCCCAGCGTTGATGAAACACGTATGTTTAACATGTTACATTTCTGTGTGAGTTGAATGTAAAAGGTACCTAAAAGCTGATTATATATTTTGGGGTTGTGCAGGCTTAACCCTTTTTTGTAGCAGGTTGGATTTCTGAGGTCCAACCCTAACAAAAAATCAGATAACCCCATCTCACAAGTCCACCAAAGGGTAATTTTCTTTTGGGGTTAGGAGATTGTTAGCTTTGTTTAATCTTTTAAAAGATGTCTTTGAACAGGATTAAACACTGAGCTAATTACATGAGTGTGGTCAGGTAAGAGTAAAACACATATGTCCAAAATGTGACCATTTTGTGGGGGTAAGTTGGACTTCTGATGTCCAGCCCTCATAGCAAATCTGTCCAAAATGTGACCATTTTGTGGGGGTAAGTTGGACTTCTGATGCCCAGCCCTCACAGCAAATCACTCAAAACAATTCCAAAGTTGCTCAAAAGATAAATTTTATTTTGGTTTAGGAGATTTAAAAAAAAAATGTCTCAGAAGCAAACACTCACATATGAGTAACAAATTACCTTTTTGTGTGAGTTGAAATCAAAGTTCTCCAAAAGCTGATTTTATTTTGGGGTTACAGGTTCAATCTATTTTTGTTGCAAGTTGTGTTTTTGAGGTCCAACCCCCACACCAATTGCTCAACCCCATTTCACAAGTTCACCTTGCAAGATTCTTAGGTTTTTGTATTTACAAATTTAAAAGGGATGCCTCACCAGTGAACATTGATCCAACATGAGTGCAGTCAGACAAGAATGAAACATATGTCTAAAATGTGCCCCTTTTGTGGTGGTAAGTTGGACTTGTGATGCTCAGCTCTCACAGAAAATTACTTGAAACAATTTCAAAGTTGATCAAAGGTTGAGTCCATTTTGGGGTTGGAAGAGATTTGTGACCCTTTGTTTTGTTACAAAATACCCCAGGAGTAAACACTAAGCTAAACCAACATAACCCCTCAAAATCTGTGACATTTTCACCATTATTCCTTACTCCAAGTAGAAAGAGTTGTCTTTTTAGGTGTGTGTGTGTGTGTGTGTGTTTTGGGTTGATTATTCTTTTCTCGAAGGCCAACAAAAAAACCAAGCTTGGAGGAGGGAAGAAAGAAAATGGAGACAAGTTAACATGTATCAACAATGAAAATATCAAGGCAAGCGCTAAAAAGGTGAAAAGTAAAGAAGTCTGAAAAAAAAGGTAAATGAAGGGTGGGGTTGAAATGTTACAACTTTTTTGATGAAAATAATAAAGATATAAAATGAAATGTGAAATATCAAGCTTTATTGCGCATGGTTCTTGAGAGCTTCCAAGTTTAAACGAGTATAATAAGCCAGCAAAAAAAAGGGAAATAAAGTAGACTTGAAAAGGATGTGAGCGGTGATAGAAGAAGTAGGACCGATTTCTGTTGATTGATTAAAAACTTTTTCTGCAACCCGTTTTAAAACGTTTCTTCTTCATCAACCAGTCCAGCATCCACTTCAGGCACTTCGAATCCCTCCTGAAACCCCATTTTGTGATGGTCAGTGCTGTCAGATATCATGTATAGATTGCAATTTTTTGTGATGTTTGTTTTACTGACCTCTGTTGAATATAAAATTGCCTGCATCTGTTTTAAGTTTTCCATCTCGGTTTCTGATACGTTTCCGTCTTTAGAATCCACCCTAGCACCGATCAAAATTTCGATGTCCCGCAACTAAGAATAGAAAACATTAGCAATCAAAGACGAGGGGAGGGGGAGGGGATATTCATTTATAGAAAATATGGGAGAGATGATTTCGAAGGGTAAGAGGGATGATCGACTGACTTTATTGAAGTAAAAGTCACGTTCTTTTTCCAATCCTTCCATACTGAGTTTAAATTCCTCCAACTGAGTCGTCAAATTTTCGATTTCTTTCTGAGTTCCAAGTGTATTACCCGTTCTACTAGTAGCCCTTGCGCCCATTCCTGATCGAAGTAAAAGGGTGAAACAAGGGGCATTCAGAATGAGCAGAACAAGCAGTTATAGCAGATATCGATTCAGCTGACCAGTTGACATTCCTAAGGTTTTACCAGTTCGAGCAGCACCATTGGAAGAAGTCTTCACTGGAGCTGCGGCCGCGATCAATGGGTTCGGGTCCGCACTGTGCCAACGGAATCACATGCTAAGCGGACCAAACATCCTCAGGGGATCCTCTGTTCAAGTTTCATCACTCACGGCGCGCCTTTTCGTCTGGCTACTGCATCGTACTGTCCGCCGGGGTAGTGCATATCCCAATACTTTTTGAGCCACTGTAGAAATTCAAGGTTATCCCTAAATGATCAGAAAGAAGCCGAAGAGTGGTTTCCCCAATGAGTCCACAGCATTGTTGGGTATGTCTAGAATGGTCGGTTCCAAGTCAAATAAAAATCAGTCGAGCGAAAACCACTCACTGCATCTTGCACTTGATCAAAGCTGTCACAGGGACGGGCTATAAAAAATGAGAGGATAAGTGAGTTAAAAGCCCAGAGCATACTTGATTTTTGGGTGGTTGGAGTGGATTCAAGTAAGACTTACTTTATCGATCTGGTGTTTTTTGAATGCTGCTTGTATGACTTTGAAATTATTCAAGTATTCATACTCCTGATTGGCGTTCATTTTTATTCGTGCTAATGGCACATCCTCTGTATTAAAGAATGAGGCAGCATGTTGGAGAAAAATCAAAAGAATAGGTCAACGATCTATAGCTTCTTCCTAAAGTGGATTTCCAGAAAGAGGGAGGGAGTTCTTTTGAGGGTTGATCGGATTACCCACGGTAGATTGAATCGATGATTTGGGCGTAAGCGGCACCTATTGAGCCAAAAAAAGATAACCAGGATGCGATGATGTCAACTATCATTCGGTTGGATGGAGACCAGAGCAGATTTCTACTTACCACTTCCACATTGCTCGATCTGAATTAACACCAGCAGATGAAGAAAGAAAGATAGTCAGTATGAAAGCATGTGTCGTGGGGGAGAGAGAGAGAGAGAGAAAGAGCAAAGTGGTTGACTAACTTTAGTGTAGTTAAATTGAAGTAGGTCATTGACCCAAGCGATCAGTTCCGCGCGGCTTGTCATGACGTCAACAAAGATTAAGCTGAAAGGGGTGGGGTTAGTAAAACAGGCACGATGAATCGGTTCATTAGCTGATGGTTATTAGATCGATATGACTTTAGGCAACAATTACCTGTCAGTGTAGCTCCGATGAGTAGTTAACCAGTCAGATGGTCGAATCGATTACACGCAAGTTCCGTCTTCTTTGAGCAGATCAGCTGTGAACGCGCGAATGAGAAGCAATATCTGGTTCTTCTGTCGAGTTGGTTTCCTATGATGAGTTCGTTGATGATTGGGTTTTACAGGTTGCAGGTTCTTGGATGAAGTCAAGTGAAGTGATGATGACTTGAGCCCCTTCGATTGCCCCGGTCGGTTCTCCGGTACCCCTCCGGTGATAACAGAGGGGGGATGTGTGAAACCTCGGCCAAATAGTCAACAGCCCGTGACAGTCAACCCCCGTTCTGCTGGGGAAAAAATGATTCCAGTGCGTCATGACGTCTCAGAGACTATGTAGAGCGCCAAAAATCAAGATTGCATCTCTTCGCTCTTGATGATGCTCTACACTTTTGAACTTGTTCAAAGTGGAAGGAAACTTCAAGGAAAACCGATCAGTCTTCTATTAAAGTAAGGACATTGCCATAAAGTTTACCCCAGACAAAAGATACGTTCACCTTGAGGTAGGTGGGGGAAAATCATAAGAAAAAAGCCGAAGGTCACTATCTGTGGCATGAATCTTGACTCACAAAGAAGAACTTCGCTTTTACAGGTTTTACTGAGCCTGTCAGTTTATCCACCAGCATTGAAAGTATTATCCACGGTTTGCTTCACGAGCTGCGGCCTCTAAAGGTGTATCTATTTAAACCAGATGCACATCTCATGCCAATGGCATTCCAAGCAATGTTCAATGATCCTTGATTGATTTCTGGACTATTTTCTCAACGGCTCTGATTGTGCATCTAGACCAAAACGAATTTTGGACTCTTTTCTTAACGGATCTGACCATTGTGCCTCTAGGCCAACGCGGATTCGTATCCTCTTGCTCCATGCCCCCGCCCATGTCGTCGAGAGGGCACTTCGGGAGTCCAGTACCAAGTACTCGACACATCAACTTCGTCGGGCTCCGCTAAGGATCGGAATGACTATGCCCGGTGATTTAATTGATGAGATGTGGTAAGACAAGGTGGAGCGAAATACCAACAACCCTTTGCCGACTGTTACTCGAGGTTAGTTACCGACAGCGTTTCATCCAGGGTGCATTCTTGGTCCCTCAAACTAGGAAACACTTTGACCAAGGAGAACATTCTTTGAGTTCCAACGGAGTGGCTTGAAGACTCACCATTTTGAGACTCAAACTGCGAAAGGTCTGTTGAAGTTAATTTGATGGCAAGTCAATTCGTGGTCACTCAGAGTCAATCTAGGAAAAACTTTCCGCAAGGAGAACATTCTTTGAGTTCCAACGGAGTGGCTGCAAGACTCGCCCGTTAGAGACTTGAGCTGCGAAAGATCTGGTGAAGTAAATTAAGGGCAAGTCAAGCCGGTCGCTGAAACGAGTCCGGCCCACATACAAACACCGATGGGTGCTCCCAAAAATCAAGTGATCGTCGGTTGCTAATGTATCGATTACTCCAACCCATCCGGTTGAGCGTCACACCCACTCTTTACCCCGACATGAGCCTCTGTTGTCGCCTGTCTACTTAATTCACATCAAAGAGCTTTCGTTCAGGAAGAGTTATTGTCCCACTTTGGTTTCAATTTCGACATTACTTTCGACATTGCACATCATCCTTTTCACTCTTTCTCATCAGGTTGGTCTTGTATGTGTTCAACTGAAAGTAAGGTAAGCGGCTCACATTTCTCTAGACTTTCCAGCCACAGCAATCCAACCTGAAGTTTTCTTGGAAGGAAAGCTACTGGGTGTTTGCGTCTAACTACACTTTCTTAGCATGACCCAGAGTTGATTGTTTTTTTTTTTTGGCATCTGATTCACGAACACTTCTGACAGCGAAGAATTTGTATATAGATACTCTTCTTTCTTTTTAATCTTTATAGTCGGTTTCTATGTGTCAGATAACCTATCAATAGCCATCGTCTATCGAAAGATTCAAAATTACCATTCCGCGAAAACGACCTCAATCAAGATATCGGGCCTTCGAGGCCCACTGAGGTATTTGGTAATCTCCACCTTGATGTGAGTCCCAGGGTTCCCTACTTTGTAGTGATTGTGCAGTAGCTGACGTTCATTCGGATTGCAGCAATGTCTCGATTATCGAGACTGAGCTCGTTTGATAATCCACAGGATTATGCCACGAATTCGACACGTTTTGGCACCTCCAATCAAATGCAACAAGAAAGGTTTGTCTGAAGTTGAGCAACAATGGACCATCTCTAAGACCTCGCTGATGATGGAAAATTATCAGTTCTGCAAACCAGATCAGCAACAGCAGCCCTCTCACGGCTGACGCTGGAACAGATCTGGGCGACAATGCGCTATCATCATTACACTCTGGCCCCCCTTCGACCTTATCCACTCCCACTACGCATGTGGGTACTGGCTTCTTACTGTGCTCGCTGTAGAAGCGCTTGGAGATAGCACAGTTAATTGGCTAATGCCTGGTCTATCATGTCTCAATCCTTTGTTTAGCTCAAAGCTGGTGCGCATTCTCCGAATGGATCACCCCATCTCCCGCTTGACGATAATGACCCTTTTACTGAGCTGGCAAACACAGTGAGCCAAAAAAATCGTTTAAGCTGTTTTTTTTTTCAAGAAGCTGATTCAAGCCAAATAACCATCCACTCTGAAGGTAGCATCCGACCCCATCAGCTCAACTGGTCAAACTGGCGATCAGTTGAGTCAAGGTGTGTTTTTGGAGGATTTATCCATCTTTTCAATCAATTGTTTGAGCTCTGATTTTATCCCTTCATGACTGGCTAGCTATCTCAAATTTTGGACCCCTGTCTGCCACTTCCGCTGGTAAAACACCCACGCGGCCCAAGAATTTTACCCCTCTACCCCAGGCTTCAAGCGCCGCCTCAGCGGACCTAGCAAGCGATGTTGATCAGGTGACGCAAGTCCAAAATACTCAGCCGGCCCGCAGCACACAAGAAACTAAATCCCCCTCAAATATCAACGATGGCATAAGTTCCCTGTCTTCATCATTCCCAGCAAACCTAAACAAATCGAAGCAAGGAAATGTCGCTCAGAATGGAGAATTGACCCCAGATTTTAACTCAGAGTTGGGAACTTTACCACTTGATTTAACGACAAGTCTCGAGTCTTCTGACAAAGGAAGGTTTACAAACGGACAAAGCCACAAAAAAACCAATGACTCCCATCGGCAATCCGATGCCAATAGCTTAACAGACGAAATTCCAGATCAGATAAGCCAAAGTATGCTGCTCTGGTTTGACCTATCTAACCCTGTACTGATGGTCTGAATACTAATTTTGAATTTTTGTTACACTGTGCAGTTACTCCAAACCTTGGACCTTCACTAGCCGCTTCAAGCTCCAATGTCCCGACACCAACGGCTCCCGAGACCTTTTCCCCTCTAACCAAATCCTCCAGCGCCACCTCGATATCCCCAACAAGCAATACTGATCAGTCGACGCGAGTTCAAAACAGTCGGCCGGCCACCATCACACCAGAAACCTAAACATCACCAATCGACAATGTCACCAGCTCCCTATCATCTTTATTCCCAGCCAATCTGACAAGCTCACCGCATGCGAATGTCCCACCAAAGGGAAAGTCTAGCGCCGCCTGGATAACCCCAACAAGCAATACTGATCAGTCGACGCGAGTTCAAAACACTCGGCCGGCCAGCATTACACCAGAAACCAAAACATCCCCAATCGACAATGTCACCAGCTCCCTATCATCTTTATTCCCAGCCAATCTGACAAGCTCACCCTATGCGAATGTCCCACCAAAGGGGAAGGATAGCGCCAATGAAAAGCCACAAATGGAAGCTTTTCCACCTGCTTTACCAGCAAGCCATGAGTCTTCTGATGCAGAAAGCTACGAAAATGAGAGAACTCCCCAAAAAATTGATAACTCGCAATGGCAAACGACCCCCAATGTCACAACCATGCGGGAAGAGGATAGCGGCCATCAAAATGAAAAATCCGATCAGGAGACAAGCGTGACCTCTTCTTCTTTTCCCACTGAGACCTCTGCAAGCAGCGCAGCCAGCAAGAACACTTTCGGAAAGTATCCAAAGTATCAAACCTCACAAGTCTCTTCTTCCGGTGGAGAATCCGGAGACAGTATCAGACAGACTCCTCCCCTCTCGGGTGTAATTCCAACTATCAACAGTACTTTGTCCAACTTGACCTCTCTCAGCGGTGTTTTCCCCTGCCAAGTTGCGGCGAACTCAAAAGGATCAAAGACTCCTTCAATCCCTCAGATTGGGTGCCAAAATTCCAGTGACCTTAATTCGGCTACGCAGACAGGTATTACTATTGGTAATCTTAAAAGCCCGACGGCTTTGCAGCAGAGCTCTCAAACCTCATCTGGATATTCTTCAAAAGGTGACCTCAGTCACGTTAAGCCTCTCCCAAAGAATGGCGGAAAGCTGAATTCTGGGCAGGATTACTATAAGAGTACTTTACAATCCAAGCCAACTGCGGACGGAACCTCTGCTACTGCAAATGATAGTCTTCTCTCGTCCAATTTTTCGTCAAGTCTTTCTGCAACCTTTAATCAGTCTTCCAGTTCAAGTAAAGAATTCTCACAAAGTTCACCCAATCCTTTGTTGGCTAAAGCACCCGGAAACAACCGCGACTCAACTGTGAATGTTAAGCAGGCCCTAGGGAAAGAGTTGTCGTTAGATTCATCGAACATTACGTTGGGGCCAGGAGGGCTTGATAAACCTCCGTCTTTGGAGCAGGGATTGCCCCCAAATATATCACATCCTCTCCTGGGTGTTGAATCGACCCGGAATAACTCGACCTTCGCGACCCCCAATCCTTTGCTTCATGCAAGCTCGAGCTCAAGCTCTTCGAGCAACACACAAGCAACAGAAAACCAAGTTCAGTCCAGCAGTTTTTCCGAATCCCGGGATCCGTTGATTGACTCTGCGGCTAGAAAGGTGGAGAATAACCATGGGGCATCTCAAGTCAAACAAGCGACATCCAATGAGTGGCGGATCTCCGTCCAGAATTCTTCATCTGGATTTTCAGGCCAATCGCTCAACATGACTCCCAACAGGACTCATCCACAGCTCTTGGAGTCCAAGAGGTTTGGAAGTCAGAATAGCACACAATCTTTCAACCTTACTCAATCACGTTCGACTTCTCAAGAGGTAGATTCCCAGCTGGGCAAAAGCGTTCGTGCTTCAACCCAAACCAACAGCCGTAGCTCAGCTCACACTTCAAGCTCAAGTTCGGAAAGCACCTCCACCACCCCAGTTTCGAAGGAAGAGAGTCCAAAATCCTCAGAACAGAGCCCGGCGAGCTCATGGATCGGCAAGACACTCTTGCCGAGTGCTTCGCCCAGTCAAGATCAAGGATATCAGGTCAGCACTGGTGGAAAAATCACCGTAATTTCAGTCGGCTTGGGGTTTTCTATCGGGGTTCTGATCTTAGCCCTGGTGGGAGGATTGATGAAACGAAGGATGCTGAGGAAGAACCGGCCACCAAGCTTCGAGATCTCAAGGCCCAAGAGCCATTTGGTAGAGGAAGGTAATTCGAGCTTCTCCTCTCCGCGGGAAAGCAATATGGAAGGTGGCCTGCACGTTCCCGGTGTGCCATTTCACCCGGAGTATCAGATCCCTGATGACGAAGAAGTCGGGCTTGATCCGTTTAGGACTAGCTATCGACCGAACGCCTCTGACCCCCACGACAGATACAACAGTTATGCCAGTAGCTTTGGAAACTTTGTACAACCAAGGCCAGATATCGATCAGGTTCATTACCCTGGCCAATTCTCAAGGTATGTCAGATAGATTCACTAGTTTTGATGAGAGAAACAGAAAAACTCAAGAGAGGCAAGCTGGAAAATGAAATAACACATACTGAAAGTGTATTGATGATCGCTTTCTATGACAGTCACCCACAAGAATATCTAGGGCCAGGTCCTCGAAGATCAGACGGGACGAGCGTGATTCCGATCACATTTAACCAGTTTGGCGGGCAGCCAAGACTGGGGCCACTTGATCTCGAGGATGATGGCTATGGAAGGCCAGAGCATCTTCCCCACTCCGGTACCCCATGGAATCCACACCAACAACAGCTCAATGAAGATTGCGGGACCGAAGTCGGCACTCGTTATAGTGATGGAGAGACTATGATTGAAGATGGAGATGCGCCCCCTGTTCCGCGCTTAGATTGGGATCGAGTGCCACCTGTGCCTCCTTTGAACATGGATCGATTCGATAGATGATCACCTTCTTTTACACAAAACTATTCTTGTAGATCCCACAATTTTCGTTTTTCTTTCAACTTCACGTATTGTTGTCTTTTGTATTTTGTGATCCCGATTTGTCTTCTGACTTTCATCATTATTATCAGTTTTTCTTTTATTGGGTAAGCCTTCAAGAACGTTCATTCATTCATTTCTTTTCTGTTCATAATTGTCTATTCGCACACATAAGAACATCGATTTTGTCTTCTTTCCAACTTCCTTGTATGACCTTTCCCCACAACACACGCAAGAACAATTTTCATTCCTTCTTAAGACTAAATGGAATATATGAAATGGACTACATTTAATCTGAAATTCAATAAAACTTGTCATAATAGTCATGAGGAACAAATCAAAACAAGATTTGGAGAAGAAACAAGATTTGAAGAAAGACTAGAGGCCAAGGCGGCTTGGCTGAAATTATCCTCAAAGCAAGGCTTCTAGATGCTAATTTCTTCAATTTTCCTACAAACTGCTTCTGTCAAACTGTCATTTATTATCCAAGATTTTCTTTTCAAAAAAACATTAAATGATTTGTGTCAACTTTTTCCTAGCTGTGTTAGAACTGGTCATTGATTTGCCTCAGGTTTTTTCTAGCTGCTTGAGAATTGGTTTTTGATTATTGCCATGATTACATTCCCCAATCTTACTCTATATCCACCTGCACACTTGAGCATTTCAGAAATCAACATTCAACATATTTTCTTGGAAGTGTGAGCAACAAAACCTGTAATAAAAGCTGTACTGGTATTCACTTTCTTTGGAAAGACATTTTTTACATTGCAAAGGTTTGTTCTTAAAAATTTTATTCATACATTGCCTTCTACATGTAGCACTTTTTGGGATTGAACTTATGTATTCTCTTTGCAGATGGTTAATTGTAGAATATGGGATAGTGACAAGGGTCTTGATGTACTGGTCTCAGAAATAATCTTGGGAAGATCTATGGCAGTTGACCATGAGGTTGAACTTGAATTCACCTGTGTCCACAGGTGGGCTTCAGGGTCCATTGAATGTTAGGGTCCTCCTGACTAAGGATTATGGATCATCCATCAGTTGGCTGTGTCTGTTGTAAACTCATCTGACAGTCAGGTACTTCCAAATCCTCAAACTACTCAGCATTGTTTGAACACACACATCTACCTCATCCCTGAACAAACTTAGCTAACCAATTTCTTCCTCCTCCTCAACGTTCCAACCAAGTTTACTCATCCGATTGTAAAACCTCAGCTACAACAATCAACGTGCTGAAAAAATAGGCCAAATTTCCTTTCTCTATTTACTTCATCTGTCATAAGTCTTGTTTAGCCGAGTGAATCTCAATGTTTCCTTTGTCTCAACTCACACATAGGTGGCCCAATATTTGTACATCTTGATACTCTTGTATTTTTCCACTATTGATGACTCTTTTTCCTTCTTCATGCTTTCCAGAAATCTATTCAATCCATATCATCATCACTACAGTCACTGACTCCTTACAGCCAGACTCTCATCCCTTTCTGTGCCACACACATCAATCATCACACCTTGTGCCAATTTCCCTCGCTAGAGTGTCCTGCCAAAATTTCTTGAATGACTTAGTCAGCACCACCCATACTGGGGTGCCAAAGTGCACCTGCCCATATAAAATTCCTTGAGCCATCATTGCTATGACCCTCCTGGGGGTCTCCATTTAGGTAACACTGTCCCCAAAGAAAAAAAAAATGACAAGGAGAAAAAAAAACACCAAAATGACTTGCCTTCCCAAGCCTCGACCAGTGCACTGCCACTGTACCATCCAAAGCCATGAATAGTGGCTTTGATTGATGCCCACTGGGGTGCACTTTTTCAAAAGTGGCACCCACAACACTACTCTAGACACAGAGGACAGGGAAAACAGGTCAGGCAGTTCTCCCTGATTTCATGTCCATATCATGGCCAACTGAGTGGAAATTGACACCCTGATGCTTGACCTCCCAGATATCTTTGTGGATGGTCAACAGCTAAATTGCACATCTCAGATTCCTTCTATTTCCCACCAAGCATGATCTGTGGGCACAGGGTACAGCATTGCTAGACTAGTAGTATGTGTCATGTGGCTAGAACATGATAATCATGCTATGTTGTTGAAACCAATGTTGCAACACATACAAACCAAACTTTGCATGAACCGAATTTTTTTCAATCTATGTAGCCCATAACACAGTTCATTCTGTAGTTCTCCCAAAAATTTTGAACAGATACAATACACTGCCTAGATAATCTGTGATTATACTTCTAAAACTCATAATGACCAATGGCAACATTTTTTGTGTTGTGATCCACTTGAGGTCTTGTATTTTGGCATCAGTGTTTTATTGAGACATTTATACATGAAATGATACATTTCAAATGATGAATTTCAACGGATTTAATGTTAAAATATTTCTGAAACCATCAGAAGAGTGTTGTGTGTTAGTATTCATTAGGCAGGGTTACTCTGTGATGGCAGTATCTGTATGATATCATACATTTTTTGCCAGACATTTTCTGTGACAAATTTGGGATCTCTGGGAATAAAGTAGGCCTCATTAACACCGGCCTCAAGCTGTGCATCTGTATACACATACCAAAATCTTTTCAGGGTTCATATCAAGATTTTGTATATAGGAGTGAGGTTTGAAGATGTGAATTTCTTCCCTTTCATCAGGATTTTTTCTTTCATTCTGACTATATTATAAAGCCTTGAATTTCCAATTCATCCAGTGTTATATTTGTTTAAAATGTCTAAATTCTATGGATTAAACCAATCAGTACTATTAGCTCTATACTTTATGAGAGCAGCTCAAAGCTTGCCTATGTTTCCAGGCGGCCATTCAAGCTTTCCAATCGATGATGGTGTGGAGTTCTTCTCGTGTATATTCATTCAAAAATATATATTCTGACTTGACATTTTCAAACAAAATAAAACAACTAGTTGCATCTGGAACAGATTATGTAGATGAACTGGCCATTGGTCACACTACAACCAAGTCACATGAAGTGCCCATTTCAATGGAACCAGATACCAAAATGCATCATGAAGACAAATCAAATTTTATCACTCCCAGTGAGCCACCAGAAAATATAAAAACCCATGGATTGAATTTGGATGAGATAGGTAAGAACATGTACATTGATTTTACCAAGGAGTTGAAGTCTACTTACTTTCCTCATCTCATTTTTCCAAAAACTTTTGAATTAAAATGAAATTCATGAAGAAATGGAAGGTAACTGTTTTGTTTTCACCCATATTTGACAAACATGGGAGCTGAAATTTCCCAAAACTATGAAATTTTAGATTTGGATTCTGAATCTCCTGGGATTTCTCAACACAATGGGAATGAAATTAATGAAATTTCTAATATTTTGGAGAATATTTTATATGTCAAACAGGACAAGAAAGAAAGAATAAGATATGTATGTGGGCCATTGCTAACAGAGTCATGTAGGTCATTCATAAATTGTGCAGGAATAAATCTTCTATACCCAATTTGTGCTAGGATGATTTTTTTTGAAAACTGACCACTTGTCTTTCAAGTAAAATTTCTGGATGCAATCAATAATCCAAATTTAAGACGGAATATAAAGTGGGCCATGGAAAGAGATATTGTAAATTCAGCAGAGAGAGGTAAGACAACCTCCTAATCATGGTATGAAAACTTGTTAGAAACTTACCCCATTAAATCTTTCACAGCGGGTTTAGATCCTGTCAAAATTGTGGAGGAAATGAGATGTATTTTTTCCTTATCATTTTTATACATACCTAACATACCTTTTTGGTATAATTATAACTGATCATCACTTCACCATACATATTTCAGCTTGGAGTTATTCTCAACATGCTCATCATGCATCCTCTGAGCTTGGAAATCTAAACAAGGATGGGACAAGAGAAACATGTTAGTGACACAAGTACCAGTGGTAGAAGGATTTTTGTTACATCCATTTTATCTTGCATTTCTTCCCCTGACCATTAAATTTTGAATTTCTTCTTGATAGCTGAACATCATGTTAGAATTGATAACATCAAGAAATTAATGACTTATAAAGAAAGGGCCATCAGAAAGGTGATAGGGTCTGCAACATCAGGAATAGGTAAGTCATCAATTGATTCACAGTACAAGAAGATTACTGGAAGCTTACCTGGTCACATCCTGAACAGAGCATTTGAATTCCAAGGAGATGCAGGAGGAAATAGAGGGTATTGATCCTCCCCTCATCCAGATTCAATATCCATGTCTCAACCAAAACCAAATTTGTCATGATTGTTGAAACTGATCATCAATTGAATTTTGTGAAATTGTAGCTTGGAATGGAGTAGAGGCAGCCAAACAGAGATACTACAACACTGTATACCAAAATGGATTCACTGAGCCATGTAGGTGAAAAATGTATCAATTTATTGGAGATTCATTATTCTACACCTTATTTATAGGCCAAATTCTGTTTGCTAAAGACTGACATTGGGCATTAATTATTGACAGTGAAAGTTTTGGAAGTTATAAAGGACATAAAGAGCTTGAGGTTTGATGTAGCAAGGTCTATAGGAGAGGTTATTAATGGAAAATTGATGGAAAAAGATCCTGGAACAATAGATTTTTCAGAGGAAATCCAAGAGTTAATCCAAATTCAAGACTTACTATTACCCCATGTGGAAAATGAAGTGAAAACGTTGGGTGGAAATGATTCAATTATCAGCACATGGGTCCAGAAAGAAGATATTCCAAAGCTAATTTATTCTCATTGTGGATCTTCTCCTATAAGCAAATTCTTGTCTGATTCACAAGACACACTTTCTTACCATGATTTCAAACAGTTGAAACTCAAGGGGAAGGTACCAGAGACACTCCAGGGAAACAGTGCTGAGAATTTGGCAAGGAGGCTGAATCTTCTGCTTCACAAAATTGGTTCATTTGAAACTGATAAAGCAGCTGATTATTACAAAGGTACTGATAATAGAAATGCCCTGAAACTGCAGAATTCAATTTTGGAGACAATTCATTACATGTACAAAAACAATTTGATAAACTTGGAAAATTACAGAGAATTCTATGAAAATGAAGAAACCATAGATCTTGCAACAATCAACATGTTCTATGGACCATATGAAGATGAGGAGCCTCTTTATAGAAACCAATTCCTGAATTTTCCAATCAAAGACATATTTTCATCCTTTGGAATGAAATCTGGATACTTCAAGGAGATGTCCCAAGGTAAGATTTCATTTTCAAACAATGGCCTCAGAGCTTAATTGGTCAAAGACATCTCCCCAATTGACTAAAAACTATGTTTTTTGTTTGTTTGATTTCTTTGTTGGGTTTGGATAGTGATTGATGATAAATACAAAAGAAGAGCAACATACAATTTCCTGAAGCTGCATTCCATCAATGACAAGAGATTTCAAGTGTCAGGAGAAATGGAAGATGCTATTGAGGCAAAAAATGAACAAGATCTTGCAGCTATTGAAAATGAGTTCTCAGAATTGAACCTGAGAGAGACAATTTTCAAAAATACTGGATTTATAGATATGTTAGAGGATGAATTAGCTTCAAAGGAAGTACCAGAGAAACTCTCAGAGGAATTGAAAATTCAGATAACTGAAATCAAGAAAAAAATTATAGATATAGGCAATTTCTTTTCAAAAATTTGGGATCTTCCAAACATTGAAGAAAAAGAATTCTACCTAAAATTTTCATTTTTGACTTTAGATTTTGCTCAAGAAAAATATGGGATAGATTTATTAGCAGAAGTGAAGATAGGGGGGAATTTCAGAGAGAAGTTCAAAGTAATGTCACAAAGCAGCAGCTTCATGTCAAAATTATATCAGCTTGAAAAAGATATCAAGAATTTTGGTTGGGATGGTTATGCCAGTAAAGGTCCCTCAACCTTGGAAGAATCAAATGAAATTTCAGGAAGAATTCTGATGATAATACTTGGAAAGAATAAATTCAAATTGTCTCTGGGAGGTTCTCAACTGAGAAATCATGCTAGGATTGAAGAAATTGAAGAAAGATTAGAAAAGATTTTCCAGAGTAACTCTTTTGATTATTTTGTGAATGCTTCCAGGAGAATGAAGGAAAGGCAAAGGGAAAGGGAAATTGAAGCAGAGACAGAAGAGATGGACATACCATTTCAAGAAGAAGTGGGTATAGAGACTAATGAAGTCAGCAAAGAATTACTAGAGGAAATGGAGATAGAGCCTGATTCAATCAGAAATTTGTTTCAAGAAGAAGGGGATGAAACAGATTCAAAACCAGATGGAAACAGGAAGAGAAAGGAAATCACCAGAAATGAAGAAAATGATCTGGAAAAAAGACAGAAGGTCACAAAAGAAAGTCAAGAAACTCTTGAAGATGATGAAGGGGGGATACATGAAAAAAACAGAGGAATGAATGTGCTGCATGGATGAAATTGGCCTCAAAATTCAAGAATATCCATGATGCTCTTTTGTGATTCTGATTTTTAGCTTATTGTGCCTCCAATCAATCTTTTTCTGTCTATATTGGTAGGGTATGTATGTCAACATCTGATGAACAAGAATTGGGTTTTCTGTTCTGTTTCTTTTGATCAGCTTCTTCTTTTTTGATTCTTTGATTTTTCTCTGGTTATTTGGTCTGGGGTTGCTGGTTGTGTTTTGGGATTTAGTTACTCTCTGGACCTCTCATTTTTTTGGGTTTTGGTTGTTATATTTCAGGGTCCTCTGTGATTCACTATCTTATCCCATCTCATCTTGAAATCCATGATATTTTTGAACTGGCACTTGTGATAAGTAGGGTGGTTCACCTTCAAGCCAAACCTCTGCTGATGCAGAATAAGGGTGCACCATTCTTGCATAAAATTGAGGCTCCGTTTGGTAGGCCATGATATCATAAAATATCATAGGAAAATCCTGCAAATCTTTTTGGGGGACCACATTTATTATCATAAGTGAAAATTGTGTTTGGTTGGTCACGCTATCACACCAAAAATCCACTGTAATAAGCAGAGGATTGTTGAGCTTTGTGATAATTGGTTTAAGGTTTATCAACCTTATTCTGAATATCCGGATTTACATATTTTTTCTTATGATATAATGGACTGCCAAACGGAGCCTGAATGTGAATTGTGCAGCAGCATTGATATGTCTGCTCATGAGTCATCATGCGGAGCCTGACACCTTTCTCCTTTCTTTTTGCACTGCATCCCTCAACTACATCACACTCAACCACTCAACACCAACCTGACCTTCATCAAACTTGGCAACACAACCCCAATTGGGCCGGGTGCTGAGTATGGATGTTGGAAGGATAGGGGGTGCTGAGTATGGAGGTTGGATGGGTAGGGCCGGGTGCTGTATCAGCCTTGGTAGTGAGCTACAAAGTGAACACTCCTGCTGCTGTGGCTTGCAGCTGCAATCTGAAAATTTGTGCAGGCTGGTGCAGCAGCAAAAGGCTGACTTTGATTAGTTTGACTGCTGATTTGGAGGTCAGCATTCACCTGACAAAAGATTGAGAAGGGTTCAAACTAAAAGGCCCATGGAAGCCGTGTAGGGTTTGATTGTGTGAGCACTGAAGAGATCATCTCAACTTGAAGCTTTCAAACTTAATTCACCAGTGCCTTGTTTCAAGTCACAGCAACCATCTCTGTATGTACTCATACAGTCAGGTGAGTGTTGTTGATGGGTTGTTGAAGTTCCCCTTGATCATGAGTGGGCAGATTGAGATAATAATTTCTGCCAGTTAAAGTGGTTTTGATGATCAGTTTTGTCAGCTTGTTCACAGCCAAGCCACTTCTTTCAGTCCCACTCTCAACCTCAACCATGCAACTCAATCCACCACCACTCTACCACCACCACCACCATCCTACTACCACCACCACCACCACCACAACAACAACAACGACCGAACACTCAAACAGCCAGGAACAGCGAGAACCACAGGAAGGATTCCTACTCAACCTCACCCCACTACCAACCAAGGTCTCATTCCTAACCAGACAAGCAGATCAACAGAGCACCAGATTAGAGGGAGAACTACAGTTCAAACTACTGCTTGCAAACCGATACGCATTCCAGGAACTCAGGCTGAACCTCAACGGAACCGAAAACAACTCAGAGAGACAACAAGAACTAGAACTCATCAACCAAACCATCACACTCTGGAAGAGAAACAACAGCTCGACCGAGAACCCACCCAGTCTATCCCCATTCCGATTCAACCTACCACAGCATCTCCCACAGTGCATCCACCTCCAAAACAAGGACGGCATTAACTATCGACTGACTGCCAGTCTAAGCTACCACCAGGACCAACCATCGCTCTGCAAGCAAGCCGTCCTATCCATCCCGATCCACATCACCACTCACTCCAAACCTGAACCTATTCTTCCAACTCCTCCTACTGACCATGAAGAACAGCAGCACTTCTCGCTCTCGCCAGTCGAAATCAAGACACTCTCTCCCACTCCCATCTTCGTCACTCTCTCGCAGACCCTGCTAAGACACTCCGAACCTCTCGCGATCCAGGTCAGGATCCCCCCGCCCACCGAAGAACTCATCAACGATAAGGGACTCCAACTACGCAGCGTTAGGGCCGAGCTGAGAAGACACATCCGAGTCAGTCATCTACATTATCATCACCTCGAAAAAAAAACCCATTTGTTTCCCTGTTTTTTTTAACCTCCCCTCACACAAAATCATCCATTCCAAAAAACAGCAACGATCGACGCCTGAAAATCAAGTGACAACCGTCCTAGCGATTTCGGGAAAGTCGTGTCGATTCTCATCCTCACGGGCGGTTTTTCTAAGATTGAGGCTACACTCATGTCTGGCCAGGACGAGCGGGACTTCCGGGGAGGGAGGAGAGAGCAGTGGCGAGGGAGGGATGGGGGAGGAGCGAGTGGGGATATCGAGGTGCGAGACGGTGAGCCAGACGACTGGGCTCTTCGAAGTCTCATTCAGCGTGGGGGTCCGGGTCCAGATCTCAGCCGGCGACGGCGCCCGACAGGACCTCGAGCTCGTCCAGGAGGTCGGTCTGGAACCCGACTGGCCGGCCTCACCAGCGGCGACGGGGAAGGCGCGGGAGGCGCTGGCGGAGTCACCGGCGAGTGAGCCGGACGGGCCCGGGCCGGCGCCGACGTACTTTGAGACCGAGCTGCGGGACGCTCAGCCGTCTACCTCCCAGCTGATCGACATGGACCTTCACAGACTCGGCCCGCTTCTCGACTGGCAAGAAGAAGAAGATGAGGAGGAGGAAGAGGAAGAGTATGACGGGTACGAGTCTTTCTCGGCAAGGGTTGGTCAGGACGGCCCGGCGCCGCCGACGATCGACGAGGACGAGTCCCCTCCGCCGGCGCCCGACACCCCGCCTGAAGGCCTCCAACTCCAATCCCCAGTCCTCGTCCCTCCCGAGCCTGCCCAATACCTCCCCGAGCTCGTCCAACAACCTGTCGGCTGCGACCTGGCCGACCACATCCATGCCTTCCCCATCCCTCCGCCCGACGCTCATCTCTCTTCCCGTCCAACCGAACTCGACTCCGGTAGACCTCCCGCTTACGCCCCCGGCTGGTCTGCCGCTGGCCTCCCTCAACACCCGCCTCCCGCTCTCATCCTTCCTCCGGTCGCCGCATCCTCAGAAACTTCGTCTTTAGAACCTCCCCCTTACGCCGCTAACTGCTCCTAAAAAAGTCTTCACCTCACTGCTTTACAATATATATATACCTATACACACTTATAAACATCTTCATACATTACACGTTTATCTTTCTCTCTCTCTCTCTCTCTCTCTTTCGATTCTAGACCCAAATAAAAATAGCACTTCAAAGCCATATATATATATATATACATTTATATGTATCATGTATCAATACACGTATGGTTGTGTGTATGGCTGTGTAAAAACTTACCTTTTGTCCTCCTATATCCCCCGGCAATTTATTACCAACTTACATATCTCTGGTTGAATTGGCAATCTGTCCAGTGAGTCAAAACGGTCCAAGCATGTACACCAATCAAGATACTCCCTACGTTTCTACATGTCTTGTTGGGTTCCAATAGATACATAAGGTTCTTGTTTGTATTGATAAATTTGGTTTTGATCATGAAGTCTGAATATAACAATAGTGGGCTGTTGAGCGGAATGTTCAGTTGTGTATGCGTAAACTGATCCCACTCTGCCTGCAAAATATACCGTCAACCTGTCCCCCTGAGGGGCAATATACACCAATAGTGATATTCATATTAGGCCCTGTTTGGCCGTCCATAATTTGTAATTTTGAGGCAGGGTTTGGCAGGAGTTTGTGGAAAAATTTTATATTGTTTTATATCCTGTGCTCCAAATCTGTTTGAAACCTTAGCCAAATCACAAATCATGATTTGCATCCAAACGGGGCCATAATATGTATTGTCAAATGCAAATCCTAATAATTTGATTTAAGATTTATCAACCTTAATCTGATTCTTACACAACCATGCAAATCCATTATCACAGCGCATATGTATCAGTGGGATTCAAAGTTGGTTTTCAGACAGAATTCTACATCAAGTCACAAAGTCAAGGAGTCCATCGTTTCAGTTTTCAGAAACATCCGGTTCCTCTTTGTTTAGAGAATTTCTCAAAACTTCTGTGAGCTTGATGATTTTGTGTAGAATGTTGTTCAACAATCAAGTTTGAAAGCCCCTATTGGCCCAGTCCAGAATGAGCATCTTGGCTGGAGAATATTAGCAATCAGCATATTCTGTAATGAATATTATGTCAAGATGTGGCCAGCCAAACAGTCTTCTCGATATTGTTATAATCCCCCCCAACATCATCTGCAGGATTTTTGTATATCAATATATAATATTCTGGGCAGCCAAATGGTGCCAAAGTTTTGGATGAGTGTGTAGAGCTCAAAATTGTAACCACTAAAGTTTTAACCCTGTGGTTCCTTTTTTTTCTCAGTGTGGTGTGAAGGTATTTGGACAGCACATCCATAAACCCATAACTCTGGGTTGGTAAACAAGGCATGTCTATGTGTTTAGCCCATTCTGGTGTCCCCTCAACACTTATCTTGAGTGTCACTTCCAGGTCCCAAGGGATTTTTTGTAACACTCTGGAGGCAGAGGAGAGCTCAAAAAAACCTGAAAATACATAAACAAATCTGGATTTTTTGCCTCAACCTTTCCAACATCCTGAAAATACAGGGTTGGTTTATGGCATCCACGACTGTAGTGTAGCGGCCCATCAATGCTGCTCTAAGGCTTCCTGAGCTCAGGAAGCTTCAATAGTTCCTGGGTGTATATGATCAAGGCTTTATAAACTTCACCAAAATCTTTCCTTGGTCCTGTACAAAGCTAGCTTAATCTAAGGCTACAATTATAAACAGCTTTTTGAGATTTTTTTGAGAATCTTTTGAGTTTGTTTTGAACTCGATTCCAAAAAATAATTTTTATGTTTTTTCTCAAAAAGATCTCAAATTGGCTTGGAGGGTTGATTTGAGTTTGATTTTTTTTTTTAAATTTTTGAACATTTCTCATCTTGCCAAGAGGTCTGTATACAGGTCTGTGTACTAGGATAAATGCTACAGAACCCTTGTGCTGAAACACCAATCACCACCCTTGCATAGTGGCCAATAGCAGCACTCTCCTGTCCTACCTCAAATTCAGCATTTTGGGTCAGATGTTGCTCCTTTCCCCAGTCCGCTGGTTAGAGACCTGAGCAGAGAAGTCTGCAAATGTCAGAACCACCAGGGACTTGTGGGCTAAATCAGGGCTTGGGTTTATGATTAGACACCATTATCGAATCAGTTTTGAAAACTGATCGAGCTATCAATTTCCTAAAAAAAATGAAAGAAACAAATTTCAAGACGATTTCAAAATGTTTTGAAAAAAAATCCTCAAAAACGTGTTTATAATTGTAGCCTAAATATCCTGAAATTTAAGCCGCCCATCCAGTTCTCCAAAATACCAAGGCTCTTGACTATTCTCCTCATGAAAGCTTACAGTGAACCTCACTATTTATCTTGATGTGTTGTGTAAAATTGAAAATCTGCCAGTCTTTTGAGTTTCACAAAGGTCACTTCTGGCAAATCCCAATTGCCAAGTTGTGATACCAGTGTGTACAGTTGGAAAAGTTAGGATTTGTTAAGTCCCGGTCTAGCCCGGATGAACTACTGAATATCCGCGCTGGGATAGAGTGGAGCGGATTATTCTGGAAGCGGATAAAGCACCTTTAATGATTCCATGTGATGGGTCTACCGGCGGATACGATCTTTACACCCGGCTCGGCTGACTCTCCCACCAGAGAACAAGACGACATCATCACCCCCGGAAGCCGAAGATAGCGAAGGAGAGACGCGTGTGGATCCACATATTTACATACCAACGATTTCTCGGATGAAGATTTCTGGACTGGGCTGATCAGGATGTCATCGGAGCCGGAGACGAGCGGGGAGACGGCTGGAAGAAGGTCGAGGAGATCGTCGGCGGATCTACTGCGAGGCTTGCTGGGACATGAGATGCGGGTGGAGATCGTCGATGGACGGATCTTCGAAGGGATCTTCGTCTGTCTCGACAAGCCCGTCAACCTCGTCCTCGACCAGGCCCTCGAATCATTCTCCAACAATACTGCTACCACCCCTCGGGATGTAGGCCTCATACTCATCCCTATTCGTCACATCATTCGCGTCCAGGCTCCATCAAAGTACCTCAGAGACCCTTGTCTGTTTACTACTATCGAACTGCCTTCTGTCAGTCATCCCTTTCTCTTCTGAATTTCATCTATGCACCTAAAGACATGCACTCACAAGAGATTCATTTACTTGTTCATTGCAGCCAGATCAATCGAACACGTGAAGGAGAGCATTCATGCTTAACCTACGAATCGACTGAGCATACGAGTCTCTAACAAATCTAATCAATGAATACGGACCAAACCTCAAATTGCAATGTCACCACAATCCTGTGCTACATGTTTATCTTGGCTTATAAGCGGGAATCTCGATCACTCGTCAAGAACAAGACTCTTCTGACGATGTCTAGCCAACAGACGAGTCCTTGATTGTTAAATCCTGCAAGGTTCAAGATCATACATTGAACAAATAGATTACACTAATACATTTCAGAAACTTTCATAATTATACATAATCTACAACTTCCATCATGTAAAAGTAAATCTAGTAAAAATCAACATCAGTTCGTTGGAGCCTCATCAAGCCAAAAAGGTAACAGTACAATCCACGGGAGGGAAATGAATCTAGAGTTACTGAGAGTATAAGTAGGGATCACCCAGACCAATGGCAGCTAGTTGTTCGTGCTCCATATGAGCTGGGCTGTTATGGAGAGTGAAATCAGAAGTGATGGCAAGCGGATCCGAGTTTGCATGACGTGACGAGTTTCAAGCTTTTATGATGGTGGTCAGGGAGGTGATGATTGGCTATCTTCAAAGTCAAACAAGACGGGAGCGTAATATCGGTCTTGGCCGGCGGGGCTTGCTTGAGCGTCGACCCAGAGCATCGAATCTCTCATGACCGCCTTATTCAATGCATCCTTAACCCGTTCAGGCGTCCAGTTTTGCGAGTTTTGCAGCAGCCGATCGGTGGTATAGCCTTTCGCCTGGGGTGCTGATAAGATTGAATCGAAGATGACCAGCGAATCGTTGTCTAATTCGGCCGGTACGGAGCGGATGAACTTCTTTGAACCGATGGTGATGATTGAATAACCTGATCCAAGTGGTTCGAGAGATTTGATCGCACGAGCGATGTCTGGTTCAGTGATCGTGGTATTCAAGAGGTCGGAGATTGAGCCCATCGGCTTGGCAGCGTTGGTGGGAGTTTCAGTGCTAGAGGATGGGAGTTGAGCGGTTCCAGGGAGGTCGCGGAGGGACCGCACGGCCTTGAGAACGTCTTGCATCTCATGCAGGCCACCATTACGATCACGCGTGCTAAGACAGACATCGACGACTTGGACGGCGAGTGCGAAGGTCCAGTCGCCGAAGCCGACCCAATCCCATATCCCTCGCCTGCCTCCAGACAACGGATCGACGCCAAGCTCGTTGCACATCGCCGAGAACGCCCCACGGAACTCCGGGTCTGACTTGATCTTGCTCCCATGTTTCAGCGCAAACGTCTTCAATGAGGTCTGGAATAGCAGCAGTTGTGATTGTAGATGCGCTAGATTCGCCGCACTCAGACTGTCCGAGAGTGTGCTGTATGAGGCTGTTGTGGCCGATGTACGCTCCAAGGATGATATCCCGACTCCTCGTCGCATGGTAGGGTGTTGTCTCGAATATTCGGTTCGTGGGTGGGTAGTGCTTTAGTATGAGCTGTGGAGACTGGAGACTGCCTTGCAGAGAGTCACGTCCCCCGGGGAGTCGGGGATACTCGATATACCGATGGATCATACCGAGTTCCGTCAGTTCTTCCCGCGGTCCGGTTGCACCCAAACTCCATCGTCATCCAAAAGAAGCCAACAAAGCCAGCTCACTTCAACTTGAACACAACCAACAGTTCCTAAGATGACCCTCCTACGATCACTCGGATCTCAAGCGCGACATTCGACTCAAAGATTATGCCAACCTAACGTCTCGTCCCTACGCACTATCACTCCGATTGGAAAAAGCTATTCGACTGAGTCAGTCTTGTTATGGACCTCTTTTCGAACCTGATGATCGATTTCTGAGCTGACCAAATTCGTCTTTGGACTGTCATCTATTGATCAAGGGGAGAAACGACGATCCAAAAAAGCGAGCGAGTTCCCCCAGCCAAAGCTGTCACATGGAGTGCCAACCAGAGACCTAAGTCAGTAAACTTGTCCAAAAAAAAAAGATGATAATCTGTGATTCTCAACCCAAGTGTCTAACAAGAACCTCATCCGCACAAAATGGACCGAACTCAACACGACGGTTTATGCAGATCACAGGCAATGACTGGGCCGAGGTTCGAACAGACCAATCTAGACGCCCAACCTAACCCATTGCCGGCGATCGAATTGATCAAGAAGGAGCCGATCCGCATGGTCTCTAGTCGAGTTGCGGCCTGTGATGGAGGTTTGTTTGGGCAAAAACTGGGATGGATTTCTCCTATAAACAAAAAAAAACACCCAAAACTTGTCATGCTTACGTCTCTCTCTCTCTCTTTCTCCGCAATTCTTCACAGGCGGTGGCGCATTGGGACATCCTAAAATTTTTATCAATCTCGATAAGCCTGGTCCTCAACCATGCGGGTAAGCCTATTTGACCTTTCTTAAGCTCACACAAGACAGACTTCTTTGGGAAGCGCACTAACTTCATACATCAACCGCCCATGATCCAATTGTTCTTCTAAGATACTGGTACGCAAATCTATCTGTTTTCATTTACACTCGATCGAGACAAGTCCCAGCATGCTGATCGATTGTGATTGGATGTGCATTTTTGGGTTGCAGTGGACTTCGGTTCGAACGTTCGCATGACGACCATCATTGAGAGTGATGCATCTCTTGTCTCTCGCCCTGTATTACACCCGTCATCTTGCCCCCACATCTTTTTTTTTTCTTTAGATAGAAATCAGACTATCACTGTGATTCTGTCTTCTTGAGAGAAGTGATGGGGAAAGCAGTTGGGGATGAAAGGACGCTTGAGCAAGGATCTAACATGAAGCTGCAGTCGGTTAAGCCGTCCGCTTTGTTATGAAGAGGTGGCGCGTGACGTTACCGACTGGTCCTGGAGATATTTATTACCCTCGCCGACTCTCGAACTCGGATACCCATTCTGTTTCCAATTACTCCCATCGGCACGATATCTCGGTTTTCAAGGCTTATGAGCAGGCTGATACAAAGATGATGATCAAACAAGTCAGATTTCAGGAATCATCAGTGATCCAAGATTGTAATAATCTGTGGAAAAACCAATAAAAGCCTTTGAGCTTCTGCATGCTCACTAGATGACATTACATCTCCCTGCAAAGGACATAGGAGCCATTGTACTGTAGTTGAGTGGTAGAACAGGAGCAGAAACAGAGCTACAGCAATTGTTGCTCAATGTCACCTGGGATCAAGTGCTTAATGAGTTTTCCTGCTGGCCCTGATCTAGCTCAGGTTGTAGAATCAACATGCTGGTTGATATGTATGTTGATGGAGGAGGGTGTGATTGGAGATCTGTGGAACCTAATCGGGCCAATTTTCTCTTGCAATGACTTGGATCGAATTATGTAGCTAGCAATGGGTTCGCCGGGGTTTTGACCTTAGCCACCAAAAGAAGACTATAAACTGTCCGCCCGCAAGGGAGCATACACATGACGATGGCCGATCGAAAGGTCTTTTACGATGGGACGATTACTGAGTCCACCCACCCTTTCGCACAGAGCCGGGTCCCGGCGCCGAATGTTTGTAGAGCCGGACGTGGGACGCCCACCTGTCCACGAGTGCACACCGGTTGGCAAGACTTCGCTTCCTGCCCACTGACAGTGACACTACTGACTACATAAGCAAGCCGAGAGAGGCTTATGATAAGTAAAATCTCATTCGCCGTGCTAACTCACCGAGACGCCGCAGCTGACAAGTACAAAGGCGACGGGACTTGTGGTAGGTTCCAGTCGGGTAGACCATACAACATTGTGCCCCGCTTGTAAGTTTCCGATGGAGACATTTTCTATGTATCACACACCGCCGACACCGCTGTTTAATCATCTGATACTATGATAAGCAAATAATGTATGTAGATGGTTAACGCGGATTTATATGCGGGGGATTATGTACCCCGGATTGACTGTACCCGTCTATAAGTTCTTACTGCTCCAGACTAGTGATACTCACCTACAATACTCGCCGGCTGATCCAAGTTTATCAAGAAGATTGATGGTTCAAGTTCGCCGTTGAGGGCACGGTACATAGTGTCGCCGACGACCCGCCGTCGGAGCCAGAGCTGGGACTGTTTGAGTAAGGTTTGAACTAAACCTTACGTAT